TCCTCACCCAAACTGTTACCAATGTGCTGATAGAATTGTTGGGTCCAGACTCAAAACTCTTTTGGGACAACAGTGAAGTTCCTCTGGAAGGGAAGATGGTACTCACAGAACTTGGAGCTCACGCTGCTCGGCTGGCTCCTCCTTGGCGTTGGTCTGTGGGTGCCTGCAGATTCCTCCAGTGGGGACAGGGTTGAGCCATGGTGCACGAATCCTGCACTTCGGGCAGAGCCCTTAAAACAGGCCTGGAGCATGGGCTCCTCTTCCTCCACCACCCCCGTGACTTCCACCTTCTCCCAGCACCTAGCCTGGAATATCTTCATCATGTCCATTCCCCCAACCGTGACCTCAAAGTCAGCGGAGACAGATCTTCAGTGCTACCTCAAATAGAGACACTTACTGACACAAGAAACTGTGCTGCTAAAGATTGCTTATACGTTGGTCCCTAGAAACGTGGATGCCATTCACCTGTTGGGCAAGTTCTAACAGGCAGTGGAGGGTCCCCAGCCAGCCCACTGCACGTGCGTGTTGCTGAACGCACTGTGAGTCACGGGGACAAGACAGGAGAGGAGGACAAGAGGCTTGTCCTCTCCTGGCCCAGGGCCACACTAGGCCAAGTGCTGTTTAGTAGTTTCTCTTCTCCTTGGCAGCCTCTCACATTGTCCTCTAAATCCTTTGTCCCCCTGGCTCTTGTCCCCCATGCTGTCTTGCTGTATGGAGGGCAGGCTAAGACCCAAGTGTCCTATGCTCCAAAATGACCTGCCTGTCCTCCTACTCGGTCAGAACAGCCCCTCCCTCAGCGCCTGCATCCAGAAATTAATCCACACTGAGACGTAAATGACTGATTGGGTCAAAATCTTACCACAGCAGCATTTCCCAGAACGAGTGTATAGACAAGTGACTTTTTAAAGTGAAACCTATTTCTCTATTACTGATTCCCCAGAGCTGCTGATATGCTGTTGGTCAGAATTCCCAAAGGTGTGGGGTGGGAAGGTCTCCCCAACCTTTTACCTGGAGAACCGTCTTTTTGTATAACTCCTCTTACATCGTACCTTTGGCTCCAGAATTCTATTGTAGACACTACACTGTGGAAACCTTGCCCTGGAGTTCTTGCATTTTTAAAATAGGCCTGTGACTTTAATAAACTGTTGATGGGATTTCTGACTGTGTAACAAAGTGTAAAGGAATCTTCCTGGCTCGTGTGTGTGTGCATGTGTGTGTGTGTGTGTGTGTGTAGCCGGGAAACAGGGAACAGTGGCAGGCAGATCTACACGGGGATAACTCTGAATCTCTACCTGACATCCTGCTCAGTTCCAGACCAATATATCCAGCTGCTCAAGGCACTTTCCCGTTGGGTGTGCCCAGACACTTCAGTCCAGACAGGCCCAAAGGAGAAACTGCTAGATGCCCTCATGTCAGCACATGGCAGGATTATCCACCCAGTTGCTCAAGACAGAAACCTAGGACTCATGACCAACATCTCCCCTGCCCTCACACCATGCAACCACACTGAGTCCTGCAGGCTCTAATGCTCCGTATCTTCTGGATCGGAACCTCCCTTCCTCCCCATCACTCTTGCCAGTGCTGATGGTGAGGACTTTGTTAGTTCTCTCTTGATGGACCAGAGTCTCCTCTCGGGACAGTGGGAGAAGTAATGGTACCCGTCTCACTGGGTGGCTGTGAAGAATAAAACACTTAATAAACATAAAGCAACAATCTCCTCTCTCCTCTACTAAATACCTACCCATTCAATAAATATTACACGTATGCCTTATTTCTGGATTAGTGCTTGGCGCTAACGTCACAGGGTAGATGTGTTTTCTGTGGGCTCAAATGTCTTATGGTCCAAGAGAGGAAATACATGAAAAATAACTGAGATGAAGTATCCCGGGTGGTGAAGACAAAAAGGAAGATGCAAATGGACCAGTTCAATCCCAGGGAACTGGGAAAGAGGTCATGGAGAGAGATGGTGACCTAATGGGTCATAGCCATTGAACAGTCAGCCTCCTGGTCTCACCTATGAAAGTCCATTTCATGTGACACACCTCCTCCCACAAAGCAAATGAGGCAAACCCTGCCCCGGCAGTCCCAAGTCGGTGTCCTGCTCTGCCATCTCTACCTCCGCAGCTCTACCTGCTCCAGGTCTAAGCAGGAGAGGAAGTCTGCTGCTGGGAGTCCTTGGGAGGCCAAATAAGCTGTTTGACGTTTCTACTGACTCACTCATTGTGGGTTGACTGTATGTTTGGCAAATTTTTGCCTATTAATATATGCCTTACCTTAATCTGAAGGATGAGAGGGATTTCTTCCAAATAGAATTTGCATTTGCTTCTGCAAGGTGTCCCCAGGGTATAACCGACCAGGAAGTATTTTGAAAATCATTTCTGATCATGTGGTGTTATAAATTCAAGCCTGGAAATTGTGTAAGGACAGACCTGTGATCTGAAATTTTGGGAAGACTTTTCTCCCCCTTAACCCTGAGCAGAGGCCTGCGACAGACTGAGAGTGATTTGCTGGGAGTCATTTACTTTCTAGATCACACTTTCAAACTGTAGCCATTTATAGGGTCTCAGTCCCCGCCCCCACCTTGCAGGGGCCAAAGACATTATCATCTGTCCATCCACAGCGTCTCTGAAATCTACTCTGCAGTTTTCTGGAATAGCAGACTCTTCTGGGTAACCACAGCTTCGACTTTGGTTTTTCTTGCTTTCTGGAGAATTTGTCTATTATTCTAAGCACGTTTTTGTTTTGTGGTGAGAAGCTGTTTCAGAGTATCTAATCTGCCATATTGCTGGAAGTGGGAGTTTCCCTCTGAGAATTAGATAGACAGACAGACAGACAGGCAGATAAACCAAACCAAACTTTGATCTTGGACTTCTAGCCTCCAGAACTGTGAGAAAACACATTCCTGTTGTTTAAGCCCCCAGTGTATGGCATTTTGTTAGGGCAGCCCTAGCAAATGAACACAGTAGCCACCAGTCAACTTTAACAACTAACATTCTGCCATTCTTGTTTCATGTCACCACCTCCCCATCAGTCACTTAATTTTTGGCTGGATTAGATTATTTTAAAGCAAATCTATGACATATTACTTTACCTGTAGTGACATTATTTTCGATTTCTAACAGGCAGGAACTTTTTAAACACAACCACAGGATCCACGCGGCTTATGCCCAAGAATTCCATTTCTAGGAATTTATCCTAGATCCACCTGCACATGTGCTCCACTTGGCCTTGGGGAGGGACTAGCATTCGTATGTTGTGGCTTGTTGACAAGGTCCCCTCCATCACTCACCACCTTCTAAGGCCAGGCTGCCGCTACCCCCAGGACCTTGCTGTCCCCTCACCAGCCAGCACGCTCAGGCTCTCCCCACATCCCCTGCACCAGAGCCGTGCAACCCCCCACCAAAACCCCACGCACGCGTGGTGATGGTTCCACTGGTGTGGCTCCTACTTACCAGGAGGCTTGCCTGGGGACCCCCCAACTCTGCCTCAAGGGAGGAAAGGGGACACAGGGACCCTGGAATCTCACCTGCTCACTCTCCCTCTTTCTCACATTTAAAAACATTTCTCCAAGGTCAGTTCTATTGTTCCAGTTATAGAACCCGAATTGTATTTAATATTGAGGTAGACAACTCAAGAAGCAATAGAAGGTACAACTTAATCAAAATTAGATAGAATTTTGAAAACTAAATTTAGGAGCAGTAATTAATAAAAAAAGATTGCTCCATACTACTATGCCTAGTTTAAAAAAAAATCTATAGATGCACACAGATCTTTGGCAATCTAATCAAAGAAAATGCTCCCCCTGCCGCCAGCACCCCACCCCCAACCAAAGAAAAAGAAGTGATGCCACGGAACTTTCATGAGGCTTTTAGTTTTCTTACTGTGAAATTACATTGTTTGGCCTTCTAAGTCAGTTTCAGAATTTCACCCATCCCATCTTCATCTCTGTTTAAGGAAAACAGGTAGAGGTCATTTAGTAGAGGATTAGACAAATTAATTCTGTACTCCTCCTTTTGTTACTCTTGTACTAATATTACTTCCTTCATTATTTAAACAAGTATTTCATTTTCATGTCATTTTCCTTTAAAATCAATAAACTTTTATCTCCTACAAAGATGCAAAGCCTCTGACAAGGAAAAACCCTTTCCATTGTTGGGGCGGCTCCTTCATCCTTGGAACACACCTGGCCTCTGAGTACAGAGGCCGTGCCCCAAACCAGCTTCACAACTCCCGACACCCACCCGCTTCTGTGAGGGATGGAGGGCTGCAGCAAGTCTGCTGATTCATGACCTCTCCCTCCTTACCTCCAGCATACACTCGTGTGATCTGAATCATATGCTCTCTTACTTCGAAAACATTTCAAATCCATTTCTCAAACTATACAAACCCACCAAGGGATTAGATGTGAATGAATTTCCACTCATGAACACCAAATGATGTAATATTTCTAATACACATACTCAGCTTTCTACCCCCAAAGCACATGATCCAAACCTAAAATACAAGGGAGCAAATCACTTGTGTCAAAATTCAAGTTAACAGGACTGCACAGAGTGCCAGCCCAGTAATAATATGGGAGACAAAATATACTCAAGCTGTGAAGAGAAAGAGCCAAGGCTCAAAGGACAACAGAAGTCCTTCCGGACTAATCCAAGAGCCTCCCAAGGTCACCAAGTCCTGTCCACGGCAGCCGCCTCCTCACCACCAGGCCACCAGCTGCAGGATCGAGGTGTGCTGCCCCAGGATGGGACAAGAAAGCCTGGGGGAAAACTGCCTCATCCTCCACTTGTTTCCCGCATTGTCCTCTCTCAGCATGGAATAGAAAATTGGTAGTGGTAACCCCTCAAATATGCGACCCCAAGCAACTGGGCTGGGGTGAGAATGCCATGTGTGAACATGCCAGCACACAAGCCCACGCATGCACACGGGAGCACACGCACACTCCAGACAATGCGGCCAAGCAGATCATTCGGAAATGTACACTGTGAAACAATCTGAGCTAGGAAACTAGGTTGTAGCCACCACCATTTATTTATCTAGTTCATACCTAAGGATAGAAAACTATGGTAGTGCTGGAAATGCAAAGAAGTCCTTGCCCTTAAGGGGCTTACAATCTTATCAGGGAGAAAGAACAGGCACATAAAAAGTGGGACCGTAAGAAAGCACAGCTAATAAATGCCACGAGAACTCAGAAGGCAGCGCCGTTTAAGGACTCGGGATAAGGAGTCGCAAAGCCCAGTTCTAGCCCCAACCTGGTAAGTCAGTTAACTTGTCTGGGTGCGTTACCGCAGCTGCCAAATACAGCAGTGAGATTTAGAGGCTGTCTGCATTTGTCTGCATCACGATTCTGATCAAAAGCTGAGGAGTGTTTCGGAGGAGGTGGCCCCTGAGCTGCACACTGAAGGAGGACAGGGGAGGGGGGACTGAGGTAGGCCTAAGCGCGGGGTTCGGGGAGCAGACAGATGAGCGTCTCAGGAGAATGGGAGTGAGGTAAACGGGCGGCGGTGGCAGCCCTGAGGCACCGCTGACACAGGGCGCAGCAGTTCCTCACATTTACATCCAGTTACAGTACATGATTCCAGAGTGGAAAATACCAAAGAACAATGGCGGCATTTTAGCAAACTTTTCAATTTCCAGAAAATATAAAATAATTTAACATTATAACTCTACATTTAAAACTGACATCAACATACTGTTCCAACAGTCAAAATGTAAACCAATTCAAAATGTACATTCTTCGTAAAGATGACTAAACCTCTTGATTCAAAAGGACATTTGATACAAATTATACTATCCCAACGATCCCAGTGCTTACTTTCTACTATTCCATGCACTGTGGAAATAAAAATTTGTAAGACAAGGTCCCTGCCCTTGAAGAGCCAGTAGCCCGTTGAGGCAAACAACTGTGTCTACTGAGAATGCGCCGCGATCCACGGCGTGATCAAGGAATGAGCATCGACTGTGGAGTAAAAAAGGCGGATTCATCCCTTCTAAGTTCTGCAGCGGAGAGAGGTCCATCGATGGCTTAAGGAGAAATGAGTTTGGCAGAGAGTGTCTGGGGAGGAGAAGGCTTCCGGGCAGAGGGCACCTGGCTACGACAGGGAGGAGTAAGGAATTCGGCGAGGCCAGGGCCTAGTGCAGGTGCGGCGTAGCTGGAGCAGAGCGTACCGGGCGACAGCTAGGGATACGGAAGCCTGGACTAAGTCCTATGGAGACAGGGAGCCACTGCTTGCTATGCGTTAATCATCTACTAACCCTGGTGTTTATAAGGTTGGGAAGAGACAGGAAAGAAAGTGAGCAGTGAGGTTCTGCCCATGCCATGAGCAGTCACTGTAAGCTCTTCTCAGCAAATCACACTGTCCAGCAAACTGACCCCCCACCCCACCCCATCACTTCCTTTCCTCCTCCTCTCTTCTTTTCCTTCATGACCTGCGAGTCTTCAAAATGGAGCTCGAACTGGAAAGGCAGAGGGGAGGAAGGAGCAGACAGACAGACTAGAAATACACACGTACGGCTAATCAAGTTATCATAAGGTAATGGTTAATTGTATTGTACAAAGGTCTGCAGATCAAGAAAGCTAATTCTTTTTCAGTAATTTTCTAAAAGTGTCTAATTCACATCAAGTGAATTTCCACATCAAATGGTGGAAAAATTCATTCAACAGAAGAAACATACACAGAACGCCTGCGGAAGACTCTATTTCCTAAACTGTTCTCTGTCAAGTATCAGCGGTACAAACACAATACCCGAGGGTTTTACAGCCGATCGTCATCACACAATTAAGGTCTGACCAAAACTGCATTGCTTGGCCTAAAAAATAAAAGATACCACATATAAGCCAAGTTTTCAGTTCTCAGCTACTGCCAAAATATGCCAGTACGTGAAAACACCACCTAGTGACTAACGCGCAGCACAAGGTAGATTCGACCAAGCTGTCCCGTTCAGGGTGGACACAACTCCAATTTCTCACAGTAATGCCACAGAGCCAATTCTGCAAAAGTAACACTTTCTTAAAATCTCATTTTATAATGAAGAAAATAATTCTGTATATTTTATTTAACATTCATCCTTAAGTTACAGTTATGTCAAAACAATCTGCTTCTAATGAAAAAATCCTTTGTATAATCCTAGTAACATGCGTACAAATCTTCTACATTTCTAAATAAATTACATGCATGATATACATTAACCAATAAAGAGTATCAATATGAGAATTCAGGACATTTGTTTTTCTGCTTGGAGATTTAACTACCGAATCACACACACAGACAAAACAAACCCATAAAGCAACGGTGTGTAATAGGTAGTGAGAGACACGTAAGCATGTTTAAGATGCCTACAAAGAGGCTTTTTTCTTTCTTTCTTTTAGGCAACAAAGTATTTTTCAGTCCTTGACACCCTCTCACACTCACCTAGCACCACAGATGCAAGGACTTACAGTAAACGTGTACAATCTCATGCTTAAAACCTAAAGCATGCATTGACGAGAATTTATACATTATGATCTATTGTACTAAGTGTGCAACCCATACTACTGCTAATATTTTGTACATTAAATTACCCTGCAGCATTTTGAAATTTTAATATTTATGCAAAACAACTTATGAAAGATTCATGAAACAAGTTTTCAAGGATCACCTCCAGGCTGTTCACACAGGCATTGGTTTGGTTAAAGTGGGGAAACGGCAGCAGCCTCAGGTTCACACCGAATGAACATGGTACACGTGTGCAGGTCAATCCACGTAGAAAATACATATGTACACAAATGGCACAAAGGTCTGTGCAGCTGGAACCACCAGTGCAAATACATGCATTTGAGGTACTTATTTTTCCCATGGTCAGGTATAATTATGCAGTCATGTTCCGAGTGCTAAATATTTTAGACCTGATCAAATGAAAACTTGTAGTAAATGTAAATACGACATACTTAAATAGTTCATTTCAAAGTACTATATTTTTAAGGAACATTTGTTTAACATTATACATTTTTACATACTTAATTTAAAATATTTACCAACCAGTAAATTTTCTCCTTGTAAAGAGACTGGTAATTATACCTGGCCAAGTGATTTAAATAGCATACTTGAAATTCTAGCAAGAACTGTAGTGAAATAGTAAGATATTACATTATTGCTTCATTGGACTGCAAACCTAAAAGGCAGAGAGAAACAATGCTCCGTGATGCACAGCGAATACCCAGAACAGCGGCGCGGAGCCCCACGCGATCTGACGCGATAAAACACTAAGCGCTCTGCACACTGTTGATGCCGTTGGCACCCACGTGGATGTCAGGCTCCCCGCACAAAGACGAGGGAACAAAGCGGCTAACAGTGGGACACAAACAGCTCTTAAGCTCTGGCAATTCTTGCTTCAGACGTTCCAACTGCTCCACTTGGAATATATTTGGCTGTTCAGGCATCCAATCATAGATCCTACAATGAAACAAACACAAAACATAAAATAGTGTTATTTTAGATAAACAAGATTACACTGTATAGCACAGGGAAATATACACAAAATGTTATGATAAATCACAGAGAAAAAAATGTGACAATGAGTGTGTATATGCCCATGAATGACTGAAAAATTGTGCTGAACACTGGAATTTGACACAACACTGTAAAATGATTATAAATCAATAAAAAATGTTAAAAAAATAGTGTTACTTTATGGTTTACTTAAGACTGGTCTGACTCAACCTTTTCAGGAGAATTTACAGAATGCCTGGAACATCCATTTACGTTTATTTTATTTTATTTTTTCTTTAAACGATGTAAGCACCAGTTCTATTTAAAAATATTTCTCTTCTCCCAGTCTTTCCAATAATGCAGAATAGCAGCACTGCCTTTTGTTCCCCCTGATGCAAAAGGGCTGATTATAAAGCAACTGAATCAGAAAATGAAACCTGTAGCTTTTAGTGATTCTTCAAATATCTTCTCTCCAAGTTAATCAATCAGCAATGCCTTATTTTACAGACGGGAATTAATACGAGGCAGAGATGGAATTCATACCCAGTTCTGACTTCAGAGCACTGCAGATCAAGATGGCAAGGACTGCTCACCAGTGTGAGAGTTATCCTGAAGCTACGTAGATCTGGCAGACGTACGCAGAGTGGAGAGCCCAGAATAAGCCCCATGTGACGATGGCAGTGCTGGCACTGCTCACTGGCAGAGAAATGACTGTCTTTCATGCCTCAGCGTGAAAGCCAGGCAACTAAGCGAGGCACTATAAGGCACTCTAACATTACAGTAGGGAAGAATTTCTAAATAAGATTTTAAAAGCATTGATTCTATTAAGTACCAACTACCTTAAAACAAAGACTTTCTGATAATTAAAGACATGCATAAGAGAATGAAGAGTGACCTCTGGGTCAAGGTATCAGACTGAACAGAAGCATCTAAGATCATTCCATACGTTCTGTTTCAGTTAGCAGGATGGAAAAGTCCACATCACAAGCCAGAGGTGGAGAAGACGAAAGGCTGAGTTAATAGCAGTCCCAAACCCCCCCAGAACTGGGAGTGAAGGGCGGGGCGCAAACAGGGAGGTGAGGCCAAGCCTGGAGCAGCAGCGAGTGGTTCCCTTCCTCCCACTCCCTTTGGGGGAGGCTGCCCCTCCCACACCTGACAGCACCGGGCCGACGTGTATTTCCGGAATTGGACAGGAAATCTGGAATGGACACAAGACCAGGTGAGAGTTTGGGCATTTTATAAAACAGGCACCAGCATCAGGGAAATTAGAGATGGTACACCCACAACAAACACTACATACAGAGCCACCCCTCCTACCCCATCTCTCTTCCCTCACTGGATTCCAAGAACCGCACAGCCAGACCTGGACCCGCTAGGTAGAATGTATAGATTCAAGGAATGTGACTAGCCCCAAAGTAAAGTTTTTAATCTACTGACAGATGTATGACCAAACAGTCCCCCCAGATCACCCCACAGTGAAACCCCATCAGCCCCATTCACACACTAAAAGCTTCCGACAGGCTTTGGACCTTCCAATTCCTTATTAGGAGAAGCAGCCAAGGATTTCCAAATATGTGAGGCAGCGAGCAAAAGAAAATTCCAAAAAGCCTCCCCCCGCCAAAAAAAAATACTGGATGCCTTCAGAGAAAAGTAGTACTTTCATCAAACGAGAACATGATGTGTTTTATATACACATACATATAACTGAAAATGAAAAACACAATAGCAGACATGAAAAACTCAATAGGATGGGTGGGAGATAAGGTTGAGGAAATCTTTGAAAGTGGAACAAAAAGACAAAGGCAGAAAGTAGGAGAAAACATAAGAATTTTTAGTCTGGTCCAAGAGTGTATAATATGCAAAGAAAAGGATTTCTATAAAGAAAAAAAAACCTTATAAAATGGAAGAAACAAAAATCAAGCAAATAATTCACAAAAATTATCACTGCTTCAAGGACATGTATCAAAGGACTAAAAGGGCTGCCAAGTGTCCAGCACAATGGATGACACCAGCTGCACAAGGACTGCATGAGATCACCAAGAAAGCTGGTGTAGTCAGAGAAGAGGCTTAGGGCAACCACCCCCAGCCCAAGATGGCTCAACATATCTGGGTTAAGGTCCAGTCACATGAATTTTTAATAAGCTTTCCAGCTGACGGTGGCATACTCCAAAGTTTGAAAAATTCCACTGACAAACAAATGTTAAGATAAACCTCACGCTGAACGACAGAATTTTAACTAAGTTTAATATTATTTATAATTTTATAAGATGTTCATGAAAAACAAATACCTATCATAAATCAGACCATTAACTCCAAATTCCTTCAATTTCTTTCTGTTTTCGGGGTCGTTGGTATCATCACCCCAGCAGAATATAACTAGCCCCTTAGCTTTTGCCTCTTGAACGTAGGATGGGTTTCTGAGCAGGTCTTCAGTATGTGCATTTATCCCCTAAAAGAAAAAAAGTAAGTTACTTGTGTTTTAAGCATTAACTTACTAAAGGCAAATGCTGAATGGTCACACGCTAGATCAGTGTTCTCCAAGGCAGAATGGACAGGGAAAGAAAATGTTAGAATTTTTTCTTACAACTTATGTTATCAAACAAGTTTACAGTCTAACCATTTTAGATGATTCACAAAAGCCACATAGAAAACTAAACCACAAAACTCATTTAACCTAGACCTGGAGGGAAACCTTTTTAGTTGGTCATTTAATTGCCTTTCATTCTGAGATCTAATTATCTTCATTTTAAGTACAGCTATCTGCTCATTATACATAGGGAACAACTAACCAATCTGATGTGTAAAGTAACACACAACTTTATTTACCAGGGCTCGGAAACATTTTTAATAAATATTTAAAATTTAAACATAGTTTACCAGTAGATTTTCAAACTGTGCAAAGCTCATTGCAATGGGGGTTGTCCGAGATCTGAGGTCCATGAGTTCAGGGTAAATATCAGATTTCCCTTGGGTCAAAAATAATATGGGGTATTTGTTCTGCTTTTGCCGAACCCTAAGAAAGATAATTAAAAAAATTTTTAATGGGGAGATAATTATAGTTTTGAAATTACAGAAAGTACTAAAAAGATAAAGAAACAAAAAGTAAAACAGCATACTCTCATTACTGATATAACCACCAATAATATACACTGACTTTCAGCCAGAAAGGGGAAAATTTAAATCATTCTGTAGAAGAGTTAAAATAGCCTCAGAAATGGGCAACAAGAAAGCCCCTGAGGGCTTACACTTTGGTAAGAAGGATGTTGTATGACTGTAAACGGAAACACAGGGCGTGAGGTGCGAGAGCCCAGGGGCACGGAGGGTGTTCCACGAGGTAGTCCCGCGGGTCGTGAGACTATGTACGTAATGGAACCGAGAAGACAAACCAAGGGTGAAGAAGGGCAACTTCCCTACTTCCAACTATAATCTCTGTACCCTAAATTCTAGCTACCGTCTAAGAATTTAGGAGGAAAAAACTGAATTACTCACATTGTGCAAATATCTGCATCAAATGAAGAAAATACTATTCTCCGCTTCCCAGAATTTTCTAAGACAATTTTTAAAATTATATCCAAAAACAGATTCATGTCAAAATATGACGATAAGTTACCATCCCACATTCCATCCTAATGGAAGAATAGGAAAACAACGGTCAGTGAATACCCTAGAATCACAGTGCTAGGAAAATGGCTTCAGAGTATCTAGCCCAACTTGTTTCACAAGCGAGGAAGGCACAGGCCTGTGAGAATGATCATAATCAGGCACAGAGACACCTACATACAAAGTAATCACAGTATCGACTGACTCTTGCCGTAATAAGATGAACAAAATAAAAACTGGACATCTACTGTGACTAAACCATAAACCATAAGTGGACAAAAGCGCTCCACTTTATTTGCTAACTCACTCACAAAAAACTTCTGGTAATTAAGAATTACCAGCTAAAAACCTCATTCTCTGAGTGTTAGGCATACCAAGTATCCTCTACAAATAATAAACATAATTTTCTAACTATAGTAAAATATCAATAGCCCTGCTGATACATTTTAAATATTAGTCATTACAATAATATTTAAAAAGCTATAAAAACTAAAAATCACCTATTAGGAAAACCAAGGCTGAGCACTACAGGTTGTTCTATGTTAGCCAGGATCAGCTTCTCAGACACAGCTGCTTAGAAGACATGATTTAAGGGCAACAGTTATACATTATTCTGGCCAAAATAAATACCAAGATATTGCTCCAATCGCCCAATCATGGTGCCTGAATTAACTGCTTCCAACGCCCCCTACTCCACCCAGCCCTCTCTCCACGTATCCTATCCAACTGCCCACACCCCCATCTAATACATTCAACAGTTAAGTTGTTTTCCTCAATGAGAAGATGATTACGTTCCAGGAAAGCAAGGCTTTTTTCTGTTATCTTCACAACTTAACTACAGCATCCAGAAAATACCTGGCCCATAGCAGCTTCTCAAAAAATAACTGCTGAAAAAAAGAATGACTAAAACTCAGAGTGAGTGATTTAAAACACATCTGCAGAAATGTCTTTTCCTGGTTAATTATTACTCCTATTTTTTAAACAGAAAATTGCTTAGAAATTACTTAAGGTATGTATTTAGATGGCGGGGATAAGAAAACAAAAACTCATCAGAGTTACAAAGTCCTGATTGTCCAGACAGCTCTCACTGGTCACTATACAAGTGTGCCCAGAAACCGTGCACAGTGGTGTGCACTTGAGGCACAGGTAAACTGAAATTTCTACTGTAAAACTTCACCACTACATTTAAGTACTCAGATACTAGTGTAAGTGTAAGATATACTTTATTTAAAAGGTCCAGAAAGCACTGTGCTCACTGGAAGAAGCCACAGTAAGATTTCAGTTTCACTTATTCCATTAAAACAGAGACAGCAAAGAATACATTTAAAGAAACAGGAGAGGGAGGAACAAAGAACGTGTTAGAGAGAGAATGACTTACCCTTTGTTGGCAGATCCATTTTATTTCTATATTAAATCCTACATCTTCTGGCAAAGACTCTAAAACCTAGAGTTTTGTTTGTTGGTGGTAAATTTTTGTTTTGTTTTTGGTAAGATGAACAGTGAATAAGAAGGAAAAAAGAAAAATAGATTTATTATTACAAAAAGCAATCTGTAACAAAACGTATCACTGGTAAGGATAAAATATTTTGTGCCTTTGAACAGAAACCACTATCTTTTCCCATAGTCAAACTGACGAACTGATTGATGAGTTGGTAAGTTGGCTGATAAATAAACCAACCTGGCTGATAAGAAAGTCAAAAGAAATTAAACAGCAAAAGCAACAGTCTTTGGAAACGTCTGTGGTAACTGATCACTACTACCACAAAGGTGATCTTTAACCTAACATCCTTTTCACCATTACTACTGAGCATCTAGTGAGCCGAAATAAGACAGACAGCCTCATGAATTGAAAGACATTTATCATGTTTCCTGAATTCCATTCAAGCGTGTTAATCCATTTAAGACACGGTTATATGAAAAACCATGATTTCTAGCTTGTTTTGAAGGTGTTGATGCTTTACTAATACCATGGTGATAACCCCCAAAAGATTTTATCTCCAAAATAAAGTGGCCCATAAATAACTAAGGCTAAATCTATATAAATGAACAAATAATATGAAGTTAATTTATCTAAACTAAATTACCTAGGCACTTTGCAATAAGACCATTTGGGCACCATAACCAGAAAATCCAATCTAAAATATGAAGCTTGGTTATTAACTTGCAAAGAATTGTTTAATCTTCAAACAAACATGAAAGTCAGACAAATACATAAGCATGCCCGGGGCAAAACAAATTTGAAACAGATTATGTTTTTAACTTTGATTTATTTCAAGTGTTTAGAAACCACTTAATGTATATAGTATATATAGAATTATTTTTATAATAGTAAATAAAAGAATGCTAACAGAATAAGATCATAACCTGGAGTCTGCTGACCTAGGATCCAGCCCTGGGTCTACACGAATCAGCTGCCTGAAAACTATAGTAAATACAACAGTTTGTACTCAATTTCCTGTGGGTTTTTTTGGCTTTCTTCTTGGATATGTGTAGCCTTATTTAATGTATCTGTCACGTTTCTTCTGGACTAATGCAAAATTAGAAAAAATAAGGACAATAGCGTGTATTAGTGTTAAGACTGGTCAACATCAAATCTGCAGAAAAATTCTCCTTTAACATGAGATTATATTCAGCCTTTCTTGGTTTTAAACTTTCTCTGATTAAATTACAGTGATGGCAAAGTGAGTGAATAAATGTGTTTAACTTATTTAGCTATGTAAAAGCTGTCAAACCTTTGCTACACCATTATTTAAAACCTGTTTTTCTGTTCTACGAAATCACAAGTTTAGAAATCATAAAATCTCCAAAAATCAAATAATTTCAGCATTTTGGACTAGAAGGAATGACTTAACTGGCCTTCATAAATACCTGGAAAATCATTTAAATCATGTTTTAAATGCAGTAGGACAATGACCATTTTAGGGGGTGAATAATCATGATAAACTGAAACACATATTTTTGTTTAAGAAATCTACTGAATCTGATACACCACCAGAAAAAGACTGTAAAGAAGAGTAAAAATTAAGACATGGAGCCAGCAAGAACAAAGGCAGACTCGGCTTGGCCAAAGACAGTGTCTGGCATCCATGTGGGCTTGCCTGATGCTGTCAAAGAAGTCCTCTATGAATAGGGTCTAGTTTTTAAATCTTCATGCTGGTCTTTGTTACACTTTTTCAAAGCGAATTCTTGAAATCTATATCTCATTTTAAGTAACCAGGGTACTAAATTCCTTTGGTTGGAGAATCTTGTTTGCCTCCAAAAGCTAAGGATCAGTTTGAAATATTATAAAAATGTCTCTTCCATCATCAATCCTCCCTTCCTCCCCTCTTTCTGTGCCCTCCCCTTCCTGTTTATATACAGAAACATGTGAATTTCCTATTCTTACCAAATTAACCTATTGAGGTGGGAATTTTATTCATTTGACCAAGTTACTCTTAAGGGAAAAAAAAGTAGCATAGGGCACCCTTTACAAGAATGCATCTTCTCTGAAAAGTAGAAATGACAAGTTTCTATTAGTGTTACCTTTTATGTAGCCTTTTAGTGCCCATTTAAGAGACCAAAGTAAATTATTCAGATACAATAGAAGTAACGATAGCCTCGTCCTAGGTTTCCCAAGGAACTTACCATCTTAAGAGAAGGAAACGGCTGGTTTTCAGAAAAGGAACTTTCTTCCTCGACCACAGATTCTGAAATTTTAAATTATAAAAAGATCCATAGACAATAATGCCATTTTATCACTAAGACCTTTTCCCAAATTCTAAGGGGTGAAAAAAGTGATGCTTAAGCAGTTATCAGATCCTTTTATATGTAGTATTTTTTAAAAGGCTCTTGTATTTATTAGTTTTAACCATTAAAACCTCATTTTTGAAATAGCAACATTTAATAGAAACACCATAATTTGTTACCCCAACAGTGATTATTTTCTTATAAAAACTGCAATATGACTTTTAAAGAAGTCACAAACAGTAATTTGTTAATTCTCAATGGAATTAGGGGTTGCTGTATCATCTTGCTAAGACTTCCAGCTGAAATACCAAAATCAGCTCAGAAGTTAGCAACGAAGAGAGTCTACAGGCACCACTGTGTTTGGCACCATCACCATTTAATCAACAATCCATTATGTCAAGACACACAAGAATTTTTCCCAAGAGAAAAAAATTTACTGTCAAGATTTTCTTTTTTAAAAAAGCCCCTCAAAACCAAAAAAAAAAAACAAAAAAACACACAACCCCCACCGACCAAACCCAGTCCAGTGTATCACAAATTCAAATTTTCCAGTCAAATAAAGGTAAAATTCATTTTACTATTAATAGTTATAAACTATTTACAAGCTTGTGAAGTTCTATTTGTGCTCTGGGGATCTCTGCAGTCTTTGGCACTGCAGTTTCCTCATAAGGGCATTCCAACTACCCTGCTATCACAGTGACAAATAAACATCTAGTGAGTACCTATTACATGCAGAGTACTGTATGTGTCACAGGGAATATAAAAACACTTTTCCCACCCTTAAGAGGCTTATATTCTAGCGGAAGAGACAGGATATATACAAAAATAAAGGGTTAGAAAAAGGACACGCTAAGGCTCAAATGATGACACAGACTATTAAGTTCTACAGGAGCAGAAAGTAAAGTGGAAATACAAAGGGATTCTGTAAGCAGGACAAGCTTTGAGGAAACTGAGGCACAGAGTGGTCAAATAAAGTAACCTGCCCGAAGTGACAGCTGGTAAAGGCTAGAGCTGGATCCTTGCTCTGGAGCCAGATTGTGTATGTGATATATTCTGTACTGTGTAATGCTTAAGAATGTCAGGAAAGATGGCCAGGTTCAAGATTATAAAGAACTCTGATCATCAAGCTAAGAAAACTCATAAAAGTAAAAAAAAAAAAAAATCATGCTTACTATGCACGACACAAATTCACTTGAAAATTAATATATATAAAGCCTTCATGTCTACAAAATTACATTTATTGTCCAGTATTCTATTCATTAAAGTCACAAAGAGTACATTAAAATGGATAGGGAACCACACTACACAAGCTAAAAATGAAAACAGTGTTTTCATACTGGTACATACCTTTCAGATCTTTAGATTTCAGTGCAGTCACATGAGCGAGCTACAAAACACATACACACACAAGAAATGCAATCAGAAAAAAAAAAGGGCCTTGGCTTGTAAAGATATGGTTAATAGAACTATAACTTGCAAAGCTAGCAAGTTAGAGAAACTTATAACATGCAGAATCTTCAGTTTAATAATAAGCACTTACCACTTTATGTTTTACATTTATATACATGCACATAAGATTGTGATCAAATACTCAAGTAGGGAAGAAGAGTATTAAAATTATTACGTTAGGAAACTGCTTATACTCAATCAACCATTTATTTAGGTATCAAATGAGAATAGGAAGAGGGATCATGTAAAATTACATGGTGAAAAACACAAGGATCTTAGTAGCACAGGTATAAAGATCAAAAACAGCATTAAAGGCCAAGTGTAAAATAAGGGTGAAAGTGGACCAGAGACAACCTCAGACGACGGCTGACCCAACAGCCTATACTGATGGCCTAGCCCCTCCGTGAATGCAAAAACCGGTAGGGTCCACGATAATCGTAGGATAAGACAGATTAGCACAAACCCATTCTTCCTAATAGAACAGGAAACCAAAGCACACTCTACACATGCTATTTACATATATAGGCATCTCCATATGCAAAGAGAACATTACGATACACAGACAAGTACAAATAACACCAAAACTAAAAGATAATTTACATTTTACACTATTACTGCTACCTTTAACAACTGGAGTTGGTCAAACGTTAACTCTTTTACTGGAATTTCAAATAATTCAACTGGATCAGCATCAAATTTCTAAAAAAAAAAAAAAAAAAAAGAAAGAAGAAGTAGAAGAAGAAAGAAAGAAAGAAGAAAGAAGAAAAAAGAAAGAGAAATGGGTCCCAAACTATTACTGAATGTTTACCCTAGACAGATCTAGTATCTTAATTTACTGATGAGAGAACAATTGTTTGGTGGCCGCTGGGAGCTCGTGCAGGGGAGCCTTTCCTACCTACCACTACCTACCAGCTTCCCCAACCCCCCAGCTTTTGTTTTTAATGTAGGTGAGGGTGCCTGGACGAGAAAAAGAGCTGGGAGGAAGCTGTGGCACTGATGGCACACTGAGAACCAAGCCAGAAGTCAGTCATTTCCCCTATTTCCTGTCATGCTGTATATGTTTTATTTGACATATACCCACGCAACGTGACTAGGAAATCAACATGCAAGCACTATCTAAGGATTAGTTTCTGTCAGTAGGTTTCCAATTTTTTCCAAACCTTTTAAATTAGTTTGGTTTAAAATAGCCACAGAAATCAACTGTCATGAGAAAATTGTCTGATTAGTTATAAGCAGTAATGAGGAACTCTATTATAAATGTTTTCCCAATAAGCAAATCTAATTTATTAGATGTTAATACCATATCAAATGTCACACTGTATAGGCACTTCTATCTTAAGGAAATATGAGTTAATGTACCACCAATAAATCAATCCAACAAATAAACTAAAATCTACTACATTTATATTCATTAATGTACATATGGTATGAGACTACATATGCATAAACGTTTCCTGGAAAGATACACAAGAAACTATTAAGAGTGAGGGAGTACGACCAAAGAGAAAAAGGAAAGGATGATTTAATTTTCATTTCACAATCTTCTGAAGTACTTTTACAAATGAACATGAATTGGTTTTATAAGGAAAATACCACCTTAAAAATTAATACCAAAAATGTATATGATTCATTGCTTTCGTTTCCCAGTTAACTCAACCAGGTTCAACTTTAAGAGCAAGACAAAGTCTGGTGAAAATGTGGGATCAGCTACACTTGTCAATTAACCCTCATGGATTTTCAGAAATTACAGCTAGACTCAAACTTCAATCTTGGTTACTGAGTTCCTTCACCACTCCATTCCTTCTTGTTTCACTTCGCATATGTTTCCCCACAGCAAAAACAACCTGCCCCAATTCTAGTAATTCTATCTCTGTCGTCTAAATAGGTGTATCTCCTTCTTATCCTCTAGGGAGCCTAGAAAACACACACTGATAACACCTTTTCACAGAAAGGGAAGGGTCCTTTTCTACACATCACAGTAACCCTCACTCATATGACTGATCAGAATCGACTAGCAGGCAGAGCCAGGGGCCTTGTCATACATTTACACTACAACATACAGCGTCTGTACATGTCAGCAAACTAGCTTTACCTTCAGAGTAACTCGATGGAAAATGATATCCAGCACAGTTTTAAAGAAAATGCCAAAGGAACCCTCCTAGTTTACGTACCTGAGAAATCACTTGGTTAATTTGTACACTGAAGTCCAGGCACTATATAACTATCACAATTATTTTTGAACAACAGCAATTACAATCTTTAAGATTTTTACAATTATATGCGTTTTCAAATCTCCTTCTGGACTTTCTCCTCTATCACGCCCTCTTCTCCATTTTCACTGTCTCTACTCCAGTTCAGGCTTATCTTAACCTTTGGCCCACATTACCACTCCGACCTGCCTCTAGTCTCTGTCCTCTTAAGTTGCCCTAACATTGGGTACCAAAATATTCCTCTGCAAGTTTAGTTCTGAACATTTCCCTATTTGACTCTCAAGTCTTTCTCATCTCCCGAGATCCCAAGTCTAAAACCCCTCACTGAGGCCCTCCACTATCTGGCTCCAAAGCACTTCTTCAATTTTATTTTTCACCATGGCTCTTCCCACTTTAGCCAAATCATATAAGCCTATAAATTTGAGGGAACATTCAAAGCAGAAACAAAGGGAGCCCAGAAAACAAACACTGTGATAGCTTCCTTTCCTACCTCAATATAGGGACAGTGGTAGACTGATACAGAAACCACCTGAAATGTCTTTTTGATAAATATACAAAAGCAAATTCAGCAATACAGAGTCCTCACACTAGAAAATTAATATTCCCATCTTCTCGTCTCTCGTGATGTTGTAGGAGCTTGAGAGAGGAAAAGACTGGCAGTAATTTACCAAGAAAATGAACCGACCAACTCTTCTTAACAAATAATTACATCCATAAGTATCTGCAGGGGATTGCTTCCAGGACCCTCATGGATATCAAAATCCACAAGCGATCAAGTCCCTTATATATAAAATGGCATACTATGTGTATATAAAACTTCCACATTTTTAAACCTTTTATCTGACTGAGTTTTATAAAGGAATTTAACATACCTTTTTCATAGTCAAACAACAGGTGAGATCATGATACACCACAGGCACAAAATCTTTTGAAAGATGTACATCAAATTCCACAAAGGCTGCACCCTGACAGAAATAAACAAACAAAACAAAACACAGGCATTTGAAAAACATTATTTGGCCCACAATACATCTAAAACTATAAGGACATAAGTTTATTGTTCACTTTAAAATTACAGACTTATATTTTAAAAAACCAAATCAAAAAAACCCTTCTTCATGAGTTATTTAATGCTATCCTTCAAGATTTTTCTAAAAAGAAATTCTTCTTTTAAAACAATTATAATTTCTTTTTTGCAACAGCACACCAATTTTTTCCCGGCAAAACAAACAAGCACTGAGACCCACTTGAACACAAGTGGGCTCCTCTGTGGCAGTGGACAGCCTCCACAGGTGTCACCTCTGCTCCTGCTATTAGCAGAAACAGAGCCTAAGAGGAGCCTGGAGCACAGCTACCTCGCACCTTGCTGACCCCGCATACCTTAACTGGATGACGAAGCCTCAGAGATGAGGTAGGAAAAAGAATAAGCCACAGGCTCCTGGTTCTGCTCCTTGTTGAACTCGAGTAGCAGATTTAATAGCTTTTCTTAAGAAAACACCTCAATAATCAGATTGAGGAGGAGAGGGGCTTCAAGATGGTGGAAGAGAACACAGAGTTCACACTCTCTTACAAGGACATCAAAGATACATCTGCATGTGGCACAATTCTCACAATACCCACTCAACTCTGGCGGAAGATCTTGTACAAGTGGAGCTACAAAAAAAGATCTTCACAAAACTTGGTAAAAGGAAAAAGAGAATTGGAATGGGATCTGCGCCCCAGGGAGGGAGCCGCAAAACAGGTCAACGCCAACAACAATGTCCTCTCTACGTCTGTGCGACAGGCGACAGCAAAAACACAGGGTGCACTTCCTGGTGGACATCTCTCATGGAGGAATACGTGGTGGCTCCTCTCCCAGCAGAAGCTCTCCATTCTCATCCACCTAACACACACTCAGAAATGGACCTAGGGGCTTGTACTCCAACAGCTGGGGAGCTGAACTGGCCCCTGACAGGGCTGTGACAACCACAGAGCAAAAAGGAGGCCCTGCTCAACATCCAGTGCAGGTTCTGGTCACCACAACACCAATCACAGCCCCTCTCAAGGGGATAACAGCCAGCACACACAGAGGAAAGACATGGGAGCCATCCATACTAAAAACAGCCCTCACAACAAAAATTTTAGACACAGACAGTCCACACAGGGATGCTCATACATAAACACAGCACTTCAAGATCACAGTAGATAATGGTTACTCCTAAATTCATAGTCAGAGAAATATAAGATGAAGATGCTGAGGAACAATGAAAGAACCTGAAAGAACAATGAAACAGACCTCTACAGTTTACCAGAACTTGAGTTTAAAAAGGAGATGGTAAAAGAACTAAGAAATTGAGAGGCTATTGACAGAAATGTAGATTACTATAAAAAGAAACTAGGAATTAGAAAGAGCCCCCAAATAAAATTAGGTAATTGCTGAGTCGAAAGCTGAGCTAAAGACAATAAGTAGCAGATTACATAATGCAGAGGAATGAACAAGTGATCTAGAAGATAATTCTATCTAATGGAAAACACCCGATCAGAACAGAAGACAGAAGAACAAATGATAAAAAAAAAACAACCCACAAACAAAAGCAACATAAGGAATCTATGGGATAATATAAAGTGTACCAATCTCTGCATGACAGGGGTCCCAGTAGAAGAAGAAAAAGAAAAGGGGATTGAAAACATATCTGAAGAAATTATGGCTGAAAACTTCTCAAACCTAAAAAAGGAAACAGATATTCCAATTACAGGAAGCATGGAGGGTCCCAAACAAGTTGAACCCAAACAGATCAACAACAAGTATTATAATCAAAATTGCTAAAGTTAAAGATAAACAGAAGATTCTAAAGGCAGCAAGAGAAACAGTTAGTTACAAGGGAATCCCCCATAAGGTTATCAGCTGATTTCTCTACAGAAACGTTGCTGGCCAGAAGGGAGTTGTGAGATATATTCAAAGTCCTGAAAGAGAAAAAAATGCAACATAGGATACTCTACCCAGCAAGATTACCATTCAGAATAGGAGAGAGAAAGGATTTCTCAGACAAGCAAAAACTAAAAGAATACAGCAATAATTAAGCCAATCCTAAAAGAAATACTCAAAATCTACAGAAAAGAGAAAATCACATAATTACAATGAACAGCAAAAGAATAAACATAAAGATGTAAAAGACATCAACATCATAAAATGTGGGAAAGGGGAGATTTTTTTTCTGTTTAGAATATGTTTCAGCCTGTATGATTACCAGTCTAAAGCAAGAAGATATAGTAATGGGTTAACATACTTGAAAAACAGGGTAACCACAAATCAAAACCTTACAAGAGTCACAAAAAATGGAAAGAAATCAAGCATAATACAAACGAAAATCATCACAATGGAAAAGGAAAACCAAAAAGAAAAAAAGAAACAAAGAAGAAATACAAAATCAACTGGAAAACAAGGTTTAAAATGGCAATAAACACACATCTATCAATAATCACCATAAATGCAGATGGACTAAATGCTTCAGTCAAAAGACACAGAGTGGCAGACTGGATAACAAGAGCCTACAATATGCTGCCTACAAGAGACCCACTTTAGGGTGAAGGCCACATGCAGACTGAAAGTGAGGGGACAGAATAAAGAGGAAACGACAACTCCTACTGAAAAGACAGAGCAAGCAGAAATGGGCAACAAGAATGATGTGCATGCCAACTGATAGAAGCCTAAGCAGAAGAGAGGTGGACACAAATTAAGACTTACGGGTATACATTTAAAAACAGTGAGATCCATTCTGACTACAAATTGTTCCAAATGAAGGCTGAGAACATAAACTGACATAAAAATTTGTGCATTCACCAAAAGAAAGCCAGCTGAGATCAAAGGAAACAAAGTCTGAGGATTCTGTAATGTGCCTTTGGCCCAGAGAAGGGTTGTTTAAGAACTGACAGACATGTCCATCCCTTACCCAGCTTTAGGTCAAGGATGGTGCGCACATGTGAGTATACACGGATCAGAGAATAGAACCATAGAACCCTACTTCCTCGATGACTTCCGAAACAGGAAATAAGCTTAGCTCCTTCTATTGTCAACAAGATAACAACACAAACCCATTTCTCCCAAAGAGAAATAACCCTGCAATCCCTAAACAGGTACAATGATTAAACATATGAAATTGCAGATTTGCAGGTTAGATGTTTAATTTTACATGATCACCATCCTTCATGATAATTTTACTGAGATAAAACTTGATCCCAAAATTTATGTAAGCAAGGTTTAAGAAGTAAGCCAATAACAACCGAGACTGCTTCAAAGATGTTTCTACTATTAAAACAGGGTTTCGCTCAGTGTAAGAGCATGTGATTTCATGCACAAGATCCTGGATTCAATCTTTAGTACCTCCATTAAAAAAAATTAAAACAGGCCAATAATAACATAAGACACTCTAAAATGTGATCTACATGAGTACAAAGGATTTCAAAAGAAGAAAAGGGCTTAATGAAATTCCCTCTCAAAAAGCACAGAAACCCTGAAAGTTCTTTAACAGGGATCTTCAAGCGTTTACAGCTAGTAATACCATGTTTAGATTAGATTAGACTACAGCCCAACAAGATGTCATGAAATACAAAATGCATCATTATTTTATATACCACTAAGAGGGAGAAAAACAACGCCAAACCAGGACAAGCTAGACAGTTATAAAACCCATCTCAATGTTAGAGTCGTTAAAATATGGAAAAAGTATGTCTTAGAATAGGTATTTGCTCGTATGAGTGATAAACATCTGACAAATCAAGTTTATTTGCTGAACTACTTTTTAAAAGGTATACGGAGGACACACACACACACACACACACACACAAAACGGAAATAAAATGAGACTTTCCTCCATTTTCCCCTTAGTTTAACTTTACAACATGAGGCTTTTCAGTCAGGTGCAGAGGAATGGGGGAAAGGATGGGAATACACAGGTTTTTATTTAAAATGTCAAGTTGCAGGTGCTGAAAAAAACTAAAAAACTGAAACTAAAAAAACTGACAAAAAAAAGACTATCCCTTTAGAATTGTATCAAAGGAGTTAAAAAATTTGACATAATCAAGCTGGTATCTACAATGTTAACTGACAGACTTATAAAAAAAAAGTTCTGTGAAATCACTATCAAATTCTTCTGTAAGCATTTGTTTCCAAAGTGAGTATCTAAAGGAGCACATTGATTCAACTGATGAAAACCAGTGCTTAGCGGGGACTGTTTTCCTTGTGTCAATCACTCAAAATTTGTTATTTCAAAAAAAGGATGCTTAGGATTCCATTGTTCCATCCTAATCTTCACCATGAATCTAAATACAAATGCTAGAAATACTTCATATTCACTCAGAAACTTACTCAGAAGCATACATGTTCTCCATTTTAAACTACTGACACCAACTGGAGGAGGCTTCCCAGATCTGCATTTCTCTATTTTTCAACCTTTGGACCAAAGCCCAAAGTTGTTTAAAGAAAGAGAGGTTCACTTACATGACTAGCCGCATTTCTTAAAGAAGCAATAGTATTTTCTTGAACTTTAGCAAGCCTGAAAGAAGAAATATAGAAATATAATTATCATTACTATAGAAAAGATACAGAAAACTATTACTACAAAGTCAGCTAAATGGACATAGTACTTATTCTCTATTTTGAGGCTAACTTTGCCAACCCAAAGTGAGACTGTGACCATCATTTGTTTGGTGTGTGCATTTATTCCACAAATCAATCTCCAACAATTACAGGTATTTACAAGCTGAATACAGACATATCATATACCACCACATCCCTCCCCAAATGAGGTGATAAATTAGAGAAAACAGTCCTCTGTAATGGACATGAACTAGCAGAGACTTAGAAACTTGTTCCTTGCATGGAAAAAGCTGACACACCAACAGAACAGAAGTATGGAAACTACACTGAGAACAGGTGAGGAAACTAAGACCCAGAGGACAGCATGCTGAAAGTCACGACTACAACACAGACACATGATGTCATCAGGCTGACTGCATCAAGCTTTCCCTCCTGGCTTCCTAGTTTTAATCTCTCTCTCATCATCAATTCAGTAGAATATTAAAAAAGAATGACCAGAATTGTAGCAGATAGTCTCCAATTAATTTAAATTGGAAACCCCAATTACCAAATTACGTAAATCCCAGAGTGATAATTAAAAGGATCACCTGACCTTCAGAAGGTCAAACCCCTTTAACTTTGCCAAGCATGAGCTACCAAATGCTACTACTACTCAAACAGTCGACCTACTGAGCTGTTGTTGTAGAATTCCCTGCACCTCGATGGCCAACATCCAATGGTATTCTTGGCTTCCAATATTTGGAAAATGAAGATTTCATGTCACAACTGTATCCTGGTAATGGCTTAATAATTATATAGTCAACTTTCGTAGGAAAAAAAGGGGGAAGAAATAGAAACAATTAAAAAGGCCACAATGAGCTCAATTATGTTTCAATACCACTGAAACCAGCTTTGTCAGTCAATCAAATAAAAAGTCAAAATCCATTCAAAGTGAAGCTTCCAGGAGATATGTCCTTATTGTTATTCTATTAGTTAATATTCTAGAACATCTTATTAAATTAATTCTTTACCATTCCCAAAAGCTCATGAAACTAATGAAATTCCTAACTTAACCTTACTTATTTGTAAAGGTCCACTCTGCGTCTTCAGGCTTACCTCTCACTCTGCCTATGGTTTTTCTGGAATTTCTGCTCATGATGGGAAGAGTAAGGATCCCGGCGCTCTTCCCGCTCTCTGCGATGGTAGACGACAGGAGGCACGCTGTACCCACGTGCCCAGGAAAAGCATCTCCCTGAACCACGTGTTCACTGAGATCTTCCTAGAAAATGAGGTTAAAATAACTCAAATTCTTGCACTTCAGTATTTTCTAAGATCACAAAAACACCCTCAAAAATCAACTCAGAATCTATGGGGGATGATCAACAAAAAATACAATCACATATATATTGAGGTAATTTAGCTTCATTGTAATGAGTAATACGTTTTCTTTTAGAATATAGTATTTTAAGATTGTGTTATTTTCTTAATCAAAACTACTGATTTGCACTTCTGATCCTCTAACATGTTTCAGGTGAATTTAAAGCACCGACTGGAAGTTTCTAAGTACTTTTACATTCAAAGGTTAAGATAGCCCTGAGTGAGATTTTACTGTATGTTTTATTCTTTAAAATGCATCTACACAGTTGACACAGAGGACTAGTAACTCTCTAGGACACTGCATACTCGCTTAGAGGTTAGACAGGGTGTTTTATCAGCCTAGTCTATGAATAAATTAGTATTTCCAAAACTGCTAACCAAATGAAAAGGAAGTTAGGCTGTTAGATTCTTAAAAGGCAGGTATTGAAAGAACAAGAAAACATTCAACTAAAACTTCGTATTTTTATTAACGTCTCACAGATCTTATTAATTAGGTAAGATCTAATCACAGGGGTTTTTAAACAAAGTTTTTTATTATAGTTTTCTCAAAGGAAATATCTTAAATTCCATATAATGCAAGGTAGCCAAAGTCACTCACAAAGGACTATTTCCTATCCTTAAAGACTCAAACTCTAATCTAACGGAAATGGGAATGTTAGGGCCAAAAAGCAAGAGCCTAAGAAGACCCAGGCACAATGGAGCAAGGCCCTTAGGGGAGAACCCAGTCTCGTTATTCCTGGGGAGCATCTGAACAGCCAGTAAGCCAGACAGCACTAGTCTAAGTGCCATAGGCAGCTCTGGAAAGTTGGCACAACAGATTCTGAACAAGCTGGCACAATTTTCATAGCAACTATTTTTTCTTATGTATTTACAATATCATGTAAGGTTGCAAAAGTGAGTCACTGTTATGATGAATTCTTACAATAAAATGCTTCCATAAACCTCAGGCTTCAGTCATGAAGAGAACTCATGATACTAGTTACATCAGTTTGCCCACAAAGAGTTACACAGCCTGCCTGTCCCTCCATCCTTAGGGGCTCCTTTTGAGACAATTCATTTATATTTAGAATAGATACAGACATCAAGACATCTTGATCTTAAACATCAATTCTGCTGACGTTCTCAATTATATTCTTAACAGTACTTGAGTCTGTCAGCTCCAAGTTTTTTAAATCTGTTAAAATGTAAACATCTAAAAAGTTGTATGTTTACACAAATCAGACTACAATAAAAATCAAAATAAATTTAAAAATAAGCTTATGCCTGTATTCTTTCTCACCTCCTTCAGTGAAATATACTCACCTCAAAAAAATCAAAGATTAGTTCCAGGTTATCTGGTTCCATTGTCTGTATACTGTACTCTGTCCAGCGATCAGGCTGTAACCCGTACCCACACTCGGGCTGGGAGTGCCTGCACTTGAACTCATTGTCGCTTATTAAGGCTATCTCCAGGCTATTGGACATTTTGTGAAGAACAGTGGGAGATACCCTATCATCGTCATCTTCCTCCAGACCCTCTAGTGTCAGCTTCACCCTACACAAAAGGAGAAAATAATGAAATTCAAAAAGTGAAAAAGAGGGGGCAGATACAGCTCAAGTGGTAGAGCACATGCTTAGCATACACAGTCCTGGGTTCAATCCCCAGTACCTCCTTTAAAAATAAATAAGTAAACCTAATTACCTCCCCCCCAAAACAAACAAAAAAGTAGAAAAGAAGAAAAATTCATACCAATGTTACCTAAATGGTAAATTTTAATGTGCTCCCCAAATACACTAAATCTTCAAATAATAAAAATATCATACAAAGATTACACATACTATAGGTTAGGACAGTAGTTATGTTTCATAAAATAGTGACTTTTTATCTACACATATTTCCACAAATTATTAAAATGATATAAATGCTTATTATATCTAAGTTTGCTTTCATTAATTCTTTGGGTTTTTAAAAAATAAATTTAAAGAGGTATTCACTATTATCCCATTTATAACTGGCTGTCTCAACTTCTTCAGAAGTTTCACAAATGTATAGATAAAACAAGTACAAAACTGAGCCATATTGTGTTAGTGTGTATTAAAAGAACGTTGAGAGTTGGAGGCTGTAATGTTTCCTTTTTTCCCATTCAGTAAATCCTTGTTTATCTGTTTTATAAATGGAAGGGAGGTTGTAAATTTTTTTTACTTTTTTATTGGAGGTTGTAAATTTTTAATTTCCCCCTTTCTTCTACCTTACCACAGCGAGTCCAGGTACTCTGTGGATAGTACATTAAAGAAAATTATCGTATTAAATATATATACATATACACATATTTGTATGTATGTGTGGTTTGTATTGTATGTGTATTTACATGTATGTACTTCTTTAATGACACAAATGAACAAAAAAATTAACCAAGAGCCTAAAACTCTTACAGGCCCCACAGCAATGAGAACAAAAGACCAGTTACTCAAGCCATTGGGTCACAAAGACTAGTTTACTCCCAATGAGAAGCAATTAGTTTCACAGAGCACTTGTCATGCCAAAAAGTCCACTCAATTCTAGAGTATTTCTTGCACCAGTTGAAATGTACATAGACTAAACAATTTTAATACTAATACTGTAGGAAACCATGTTATTGTATAGAATACAGCTGAGCTAGGAAAACTTTTCAGTCTAGATTTCAGTGGGTCCAACTGCTAACACAAATAACAGGACTGTATCAGGGAGGCCTGCTCTCTGTGTCTGACCTCCTGCCTCCAACCACTGTCCAGGCTTTTCTTACAGGCACTTACTCTGAGGTCTCCCAGAGGGGACATCTACACATTATTTAATTAGTAATAATGCTCTGTAATCACCCTGTAAACTCAAAAGTAGCACCACTTCACTAATTCAAACAAAAATTCTCATCTCTTTTCAGAAACGAAACTCTCAGGAATAGTTCTAAACAAGTGATTCTGCTGGTGAGCCTGAAGGAACAAACATTCTCCACTAAAAGGGGGAAAAAAGTAAAGAAGAAAAGAAACTATTTATTGCTCCACTAAGAAAAATTTAAATGGTAGAAACTACAAATACACATAAGCTTGGAAATCACTTATCTGTATCTATGTGAAAACAAAAATTTCCGGTTTGAAATTTGGAGACTAAGACACGTACCTGCAGCAACCATGAGGCAGGGAAGCAGCTCACACTCACAAGACCCTGCAGTTATGAGTGAATATGAAATTGTCTTCAAGTGTTATTTTCTTAGTTTACACACTCAAAGGTTACAACCAAATGGATCAGAATGTTACAGTATTAAATGAAGATAAATAACCTAAGTAACAGATACACAGTCATACCTAAATCTAGACTTTTTAAATTTTTTCTTGGTTATTGAGACAGGTGGCTTTTCAGAATAATGCAAACGTAATCTTATTTCAGTCTGACACGTCAACCATCCAGAATCCAGAGTCTCAACACCATCTGGTAAAGTATGAAGAAGAGTAATTATTATACATATTTTTAAAAACAATCTGATAAGCACAATACATACTGACAAGTCAAGTTCACATTCACATTTTAATACACTTGGGTTATATACCACTGACATTTCTCTCCCAAGCAAATATACAAGTAGTCTTAAATCTGTCATTGAAAAAGAACTTTTATATGAAGTAGGGGGAGATGTTAAATGAATATTAACGATTAGCTGAACTTTAACAACTAAAATAAATTAAAATGTTCTTACTGAATACATTATCAACCACAAATCTATTCAGAAAAAATACATGTTCCAAGATGGCTTCTAACCCCGCAGCTGTTCCACTGGGGTCACTGTTACACTTCTAGCTTCCCACGAGGTACCAGCTGAAACTAGTTACATCACTAGTGCTCGGAGTGGAGATACGAGGAGGTAAAAACAAAACTGTTGCGTCAATTCTGTCTTCTCACATTTATATATTCTGCCATAGATAAATTGCATGATTGTGGTAACACTGTTAGCACTGTTTACCTTGAAATTTCTTGCTAACAGAGGTAATACAATTTTCATAAACACCACAAAGAGCTGACAACTGTTTTGGACCTAAGTTCCTCATCAAAAGGACATTAAAAAAAAAATTAAAAAACTTTTCTCCTTAGGTATGATTTTTTAAATGTTCCATAACTATCAAATTTTAAACAATGGGAAACTTTAATTTTAATTTTAAAAACTCTTAATTTTGAACTCTTTTCAGAAATGGACACAGTTGGAGAAATCGCTTCCTATCCTGAGAGCTAACTAAAGATGAATTTAGGAAGATGGTGACAACAAAAACAAAAAATGAGGAAAGAAGTGCCAAGCATATATAACCACACATAGTAACTAACATATAATAGATGGATACATCATGCATTATAGCTGAAGAAATGAGAAAACTCCTCTATAAAAGCTCTCCGAAACATGTAGCATAAATAGCATCCTTTGTAAATGAAACTCTAAAACACTAAACCTATTCAAGTTTACGTTATGATATAATATACTCTCAAAATCAAGAAGCAGTTAAATTCTTATCCAAATATGGCAAAAGCATGTACATTTCTAAAGTACGTAAACACACATATGTAGTAAAACCACAACCAAAACACTCAGCCCTATTCCTTCCTGTACCCAACAGCAAAGCAAACTGATTATCAGCAATTATCTCTGGCTCACGGTGCAAGCACACATTCTGCCCTCTCCCTTTACATCTTTTGACTCCTACAGTATAGTATCTAAAATGAAAATGCAGTTTAGCATAATGCTGATACACTGTGAGAATTCCAGTCACTGACGGAAAAACTTGAATCCTTAGGATAAAGGATCAGTAAATAAACTGATGCGGAAGTTATACGAATGCACATTTCAACATAGTCGGAAGTCAGAGGATTTCTAATTAATTGTTAAAGACTCAGCCAGAGAGGTTAGAACATTCTGCGTAACCTGGATTTTACTATAAATGCATATACAAACACAAAATGCACAAACTTAGGTTATGAGTAAAGTTTCACATTTTAAACGGTTAGAATCATTTAATAACATTTTCAAACAACGTAGTTAAGTGATGATATATTAAAAGTTAAGTGTAATACTTTTATTTAATTATATTATCCATATACCTGAAGTCACCAGTCAAATAAAAAACAAAAGGATAAAATTTTAAAGCATGAGAATTATATTGGAAACTTATTTAACAGAATGTATTTGTCTCTTGAACCTAGTCTATTTACAGTATCATACTGTTGTATTTCCCTGTGCTGTCTCTAATGAAATGTAAGGTAGCATCTCAACCATATGAATAAGGATTTTCAGAACAGTCTCACTTACTGTGGATTCCAAATTGTCCATCGTCAATAATAATTTCACTTTCTAGAATTGAAGGAAAATGGAAAACCTAGTTAAAATTTTTGATGTTTACAGAATGAACAACTGAGAAATCACCCACCTTAAGGATTTTTTAAAAAATTCTAAAATTTAAAAGCAGCCCAAAATGAATAAGCATATTTATTGTAGCCCTCAATAAAGAAATCCCTTTTAAGGAGGCTATCAAACAGCAGCAGTTCTTACACTCATGGTGATTATTCACAACGTTAAGGAAGAGAAAGAAAACTCCTCGGACAGGTGCTCTAGAGGCACTGAGACAAATGTTTACACCCACCAATGTATGAGACTGACAGGTTGCTGGACAACAGTATCTCCTGGTTGATTTTTCAAACCAAAGATCTTGGCACAATTAAAATGCTTATTCTTACGTAGTGCGTATTCCGAACTTATCTAAAATATAATGCTCCTCAAATCCCAACTATTCTCTATAGCCAGCTAAAAGCTTTTCAAACAGAGTAAACTTACCTGTATACACAGAGCTGTGAGGAACTACCAAAAGAATAAATGCTGGCACATTATCTTCTAAGAGAAATTTCAACTAAATGAGAAATGCTGTTAAGCCCCACCCTCTGAGTAAAACACTAATTATCTTCCCTGCTACTTCCTTTCTCAGTTTACTTTAAACGTTAAGTCTGAAGTATTTGTAAAAATAAGTATGGTAGTTCCCAATAAAGACTCTCTGGTAGATTTCACATAGCTCTTAGGTTCAGAAGTTGTATCTTCCAAATACATAAAGTAAAATTTTCAAAAGACCAGAAACAAAATCATCCCATTTCTCAAAATAAGAAAGTATATTTAACTGCAAGATGCTTCAAAATGCATTTTTTTAAAAAAATGTTCAGTACCTAATAATTTCCAACCTCAGTATGGGACTACTATAATTCTAAAGTACACTATCATAAAAATTCTACATATATTATAAAAAATGTATTAAAACATAGAAAAAGAAAATCCAATGACGAGGAAGTAATATCTGTTTACATGAGAAGTGTCCCTGCTACAGGGTCTAGTAGAATCTCTCACTACTTTCTAATCCAAGCTAGTAACTAGCAAGGCATTAATTACCTTTAAATACTATTTTTCTTTAGAAACTAAAAGATTTCTCACCATTAAGTCAGTTTACAAATGATTCCAAGTGGGTAATTTAATGTATGTGAAATGAACTTCAAATTTTAATCTCAGTATGGAAAACAAAATTCAAAAATTCTTGTATGAAGAGAAATGCCATTTTGAGGCACAAGAAAACTGAATAATATTAAACAAACAAAAAAACCCCTATCTGAACAGCAACTGTAACATAGCCAGCAGGGTATTGGGGGAAAGATTCTGCTACAACCAAGAAGCCTGCCTTCATTCATACAAATTTATCTAAGTATTTACTAGTTTAAAAAAATATATATATATAATAAATATATAATAAATTATATATAATAAATAATATAATAAATAAAAAATATATATAATAAATAAAACTTATTCTATTACTATCCAATGTTAAAATTTGAAGAATCTTTGTTTTGGATCAATTCTTTCCTCAAAATGCTCTCAAGTTCACTGAGCAAGTAATCAAATAAAGACACGGATGCTCAGTCAAGAAGAATGCTATTGTCTATACTTTGTAACCACTCCAAATGAAAAACAAATATTCCCCAATAAACTCATCCAACCCAAGAACTTAAAAATAACTAGGCAAGCATTTCTAATAAAGTTTATAAAGAAAGGTAATTAAGAACAGTTTAGTTTTGAAAGTAAGATCCATGATATGCTAAGTGAAACTTGTAGTACTGACAATGCATTGACCTTAACTTCAGAATAAAAGTTTATTAAATCCCACTAAGCCATTGTGCAGCATATTAGTAACTTTACGCATATGCCTCAAACAGATGCAGTTAATGCCCATACCTAAAGGGGTTATTGCTCGTGGTTGTAGATGAGTCTCCCACTTGTGAACTATGACTTGACATGGACCACCGATAGTCTGCAATTTAAAAGTTAAATGTCTGCAATAATTTCTTATATCTTATTTTCTACCCATGATGCCATTTGATGTTTGTGGTCTAAGTCTTATACTAAATATGAAACCAAGAGATTCATCTTGTTAATATCAATATTATATGGCAAAAATCAGGAATGTCACAAAACATGATGAGTGCTGGAAGAAAATGAGGGTGAGGCAGTAAACAAAGAAAAATGAGATAAACGGGCATATAAAATCAACTTAAACCCATTCTTAAATCTGCCTACACGACTCAATTTTAATCTTTAACTGATATTCTGTCCCAAGTTAACAGTAAATATACTTTATGTTTGGTATGCCAGCAGTCAATGAGGTATTACTGGATGAAGTAGCTCATCTTAAGTAACTCTCCAAGTGTTCGCAAAAAGCCTGAACTATGACAGTAGAAAGAGTAAGAACAAATACTTCAAGATCAGTTTCACAAGTTACTCAAGGAACTAGCGGGCATAATAAAGCTCTTCACTACATGTATTTATTAGTAAGTAGGTAACAGGAGGAATATTAGATTTTCTCATATCATAGTAACCAGTGTTTCTACGGAGCACAGGAAACCTTAAAGGGAAGGACACAGGCATGGGTAAATCTGAAGAACCAGTCTGATTAAAGGGAACGAACATCCAGCCTTAAAGTCTATAAATTCACACAGTGTGACAATTCCTAATATTGTCTTTTGTTATCAAGTTCTCTTATTAAAAAAGAAAATAAAGCTTTACGTATTATTGATAACATCTATAGCAATTTAAAAGCAAGAATGAACTACCAACAAAGATTCCCTGTGTAATGCTTCCTAATTTTCCTTTAATCACTAAAAAATAAAAATAAAAAACAACTCGACAAATTAAACTTATGTGCCAAAATACAATCCTTAAATACACATTTAAAAAGCAAAACTTCAAAATATAACCTTACAAGGTATTTTAATTTTTTTCTTCTTTAACACATCTTCTGAAGAAATTAAGTAAAATATAGAGAAGCAAAAAGAAACAGAAACCATCCATTACCACAGCACTTTGGGGTAATCACTATCAACATCTTCACATATAATCCTCAAACCCTTTTCTAGGCATATTGTGTGTGTGTGTTTGTGTGTGTGTGTGTGTGTGTATGTACACACTCAAAGTCTAGAACATACAAGCATCCCTCTACATCCTTAAATGGCATTAAATATTCTATAACATTTTATAGGACTACAATATTGATTTCATTTAATAATAAATGTGCCAAGTGATAATAAATAAGTATGTAACAAATTAGGCACATTATTAAGTAATTAGACACAAGGGATCATTTTACCACTTAAAATAACCAGAGGTTAAAATCTTTTTTAAAACTTGCAAACTTCAGAAGTTAGAAAACTAAAATTGCATTAGCTATTCATTCATTAATCCTGGGATAATACAGGAAACACTCATTTTATCTAGCTGCATACCTCCTTGTTATAAAGGTTCACTTATGAATTGATAAACTGCACGGACATTTAAAAAATGTAAATATAAAACTATCTTAAAATATGGTGAATTTCATTTCATTACACTAAAAAATGAGATTCATTTGTTCCTATATCTGCTAGATCTTTTTAACTACAACTTTTTCTTGTCACATTTTTCTGAGTTTGTTTTTCAAACGTCAAACTTTCTAATCCTCAAAAGACGCAAATGCATACATTAAAAGCAGGAATGCTGTTTAGCAATGGGCAGCCAGAAAGAACTAACCTATTCCCTTCCTCCACTCCTCCCATGTCCTGCACCTCCCTCAAAAAAAAAAAAAATTCCTCTTTGCTACAAAAATGGTATAGATCGATATTCTTATAAAAGTCACTAATCAAAAGCGACTTGAAAAGGTGCCATACATATTAAATGTTAGCAAGGATTAAAATGAGGGGGAAGAAAAGAGAGTTTGCTTTTGTTTTAATTTAGGGGTCAGGGAACTTCACAAAGTGCTGACTGTGTATGTATATTAAATCATGTAAAAATAGCCCTGTGGGTTAAACATTTGATAGGGAACATATTTTAGTAGTAATTTTAAAAACTCCACCCCCATCTGTTTTAGTAACAAACCCACTAATCATAACAACCTAGATTTGAACAGAATGGAGTCTTGAGGAGCCAAATTCAACAGATGATTTATAATTGTGTCTACTGGTGTTTACACTAAAATCCGTGTTGGTTGGTACAAAAAAAAAGCTACAATATTGGAAAAATGAACCAAGTTTTAAAATACAAATTTCCAAAATTTTTAGGACTATTAAACTTGAGAAGGTTATCTTAAATTTTAGCTTACTGATGTTCTTTAAAATAAACAAAAAAACTAAGACCTGCGCATTGGGAAATTAAAGATCTCAGTAATGATTCCAAAACCTGTATTCCTTTATGCTAAATGTAACTAAGTCATTCTTCAAGATCTTAGGGAAATAAAGAACTCCATTCTGTAAAAGACTGCTACAATTTTAAGCACTTCAAGTGGAAGGTGGATCTTTGGAGAAAAAAGTAACAATATCAGTCCAAGACAGTATTCCATGAATGGTACTCGTAGAGTTATTTTATATTTTAGCATGTTTTAATCAGGTGATTGCTGGAATGTTTTTTAAATGTGCCTATTAACAAAAATACAAAAAAAAATCTGTTTCCATGGAAAAGTCATAATGATTGCTCTCTTAAACAGTTATTGAGATCACTCAGCAACATCAAGCATTAAGAGAAACAAGATTACCTAACATACAGACTGGGATTTTTGTTTTTAACAAACCACCAAGCAAAATGACTATTATTGTGTAATATCAATGCTTTCAAAAAACTGAAAATGTCAATCTCAACCTTTCAGATTTTCTTTCCACAATTTTGAAAAAAATGAAAAAAAGTGCATGTAAAAGGGGCTTTGAATTTTTATCTATGATGTCAGAAGCCAAACCAATAGTTATTTAAAAATCACTTTTGTTTTTTTTTGGATGGGGAGGCAATTAGGTTTATTTACTTTTAATGTAGGTACTGGGGATTGAACTCAGGACCTCGTGCATGCACGCACTCTACCACTGAGCCATACCCTCCCCCTAAAAATCAGTATTGTTAATAAGACCAATGAAAAAACTGGTCTCCTGTAATGAGTAAACAAAGAAGGCTAGGCCACAAGAGATCTCTGGGATGCTTCAAATTCAAAGTTATCAACTGAGGGTATTTAGCATCCAGAGGATTTTATTATACTAAGAAATCACTGAACAAAAAGACAACCCGGGCTATTCTGAAAACAACTGTCTATCACAGATGACTGATTCTTTTTTTTAAAGGATTTAAACAAAAATCAAGGGAGATTAAGAACAAAGTAAAATAGTTTGTAATGAAGAGAGGGTGGGAATAGCTCAGTGGTAGAGTGCATGGTTAGCATGCATGAGGTCCTGGGTTCAATTCTCCAGCACCTCCATTATAAAAAAAAAAAAAGTGTAATGAATCTAATAAGTGAATGTTAACACATAAAAATTAGAGACAGATACGTTACCGAAATATAAAGAGCTATTTCCAGTGAAATGAAGGAAAATTTTCAAAGACAATAAATTAAAAACTGGCTAACATCTCAGAATGAGGAAACAACCCCTAATTCCAGCCACAAACAAGAAGGAGTGAACATGGATTGAAAAATGTTTAAGTTACATGTTAATTCAGAAATTATCTTTGTGAAGACATGAAATTAATGGATTATCTGCAGACTCAACACTAATGTTTTCATTCCAGAAATATCTACTATTTTTGTTTCCTATGTTTAAATCATATTTGTCACCTGTAATATTTTAGAATTCAACATAGTAACATCTTACTTTAATTCTATAAAGTGTTAGAACATATAGCTGTGAAAATTAAGAGAAAAATGACTTCAAGATTCTTAACTTCTAAAGCGAAAGCACTATGCCAGAGCAAATTACCAAAGAGAAAATATGAATGGTAAAGTTTTATTTATAGTTAACATTTTTGTGATTCCAAGGACCTAAGAAATCTAGAGTTCAAACCCTTCCTTTCACAGATAAGAAAGCTGAATTTTGAAGGTCAAGTGACAAGATCACAAGATTTGTAGCTTAGGTTCTAGAAGTGCTTGGATAGATGACCTAAAACTTTTGACCCAGTAAAATTAATCCTATTACCACTTCAGTTTCTCAATGCTTTCATAATTATTCTGCTTTCCAATCATTCTTTGTGTTTATAAAATATATATTCTAATAATTTACATCATTTCAGAATTTAAGATTCCTTGAACATCAGTTCTATCGTTTGACAATGGACTATCGAGACAAAGTTTCATAACTGTTTCTATTAAAAATTGTTTCATTTTAAAAGCGCCACCAACGTTAAAAAGAAATGTCACTTTAAACTGGCATGTAGGGGGAGGAAAAAACCTCAAGCCATATGCATGGGATTTTATGTAGCTATTTACTCTATTCCATGAAAAACATACTTACCATGGCAGCCCCTGCATCACACGGTACATGTGTACACGATACAGAGCACCTACTTAAAGAAACACACTCACCAACACATACTGTAAACTTTTGCAAGTATTACAAGGGGAAAAACTTGTTTCTTACTGTAAGCAGACTTCTTGCCAATTTTTTGAAAAAAGCATTTTGGAACGATTTGCTGCTTTTGGTTACAGTTTTCAATGAAAAGAGAAAATACTGTAGGTTGGCTTAATTTGACCTGTGTTGACAACAGTCTTACTTTAGGAAACTATGCCCAAAGGACTCCTTGTGATATATCTCGTCCAAATGCCCCCTTCTGTAAAATTTACTTTATTTTACATGTTACAAATTTCACATACCAAGATCCTCAAGTAAGCTTCCCAAGTGATGAGCGCCATGACCCACAAATCTATGCACAATTGTTCACTTTACACTAAAGAACTTTGCCCCGATATACAACCCCACGCCAATACATGATCTTCTCTTAAGCCATTAAAGTGAGACTGTTGTCAAGATAAGCCAACACAATGATCGACCATAATGTAATTTAATTTTAATTACTGAGTATTCACAATATATTCTTGGAATAAGAAACGTAATAGGTGCAAAAGACAGCTGAAGTGGGTTTGTCATTTTTTTTTTAATAATGGTGGCTAAAAGAAGGAAAAAACAATGGCTGCTTGCATTTTTTTTGTACATGTAACAGGTATTCAAGGACCCCGAAGGGAAATGCAATTTTAAAAAGGCCTAATCCGTGTTTTGCTTCTTAGACTCCTGCCTCAGCCCTTGTTCATATGCAGCCCAAAGTGTGTTCAAAGGTAAAAATATGAAGGAAAAGAATGCTTTCAGCAAATAAGTATCTTTAAAATGAGAGAGAAAGAATCAACTTTCTTTTCTAAATATGAAAATGATCCCAAAATAATAAATCATCGTTAGCAAGCAGATTCAGATTTAATAGATACTCCAAAGGTGTTCAGAAAAGATCCTGGTCTATCAATACCATCACTGAAAAAATCTAAAAGGAACGACTTCAGTTTTGACGGGAGTTAAACAATGCAGCCACTCAGAGATGACTGCTGTGAAACACATTTTTTAATCTATTATTTATACCACAGAGGAATTTAAAAAAAAAACAAAAGAAAAACCCTTACTATTGGTTACTAACTAGTTTATAAAAGTTACAGAAAATGCACACCTACCAAGAACATTTACCATTAAAACCAATTCCATGATAAAAATATTGCAGAACATACTTACTATTAGTCTTTTAAAAATTCCATTAGCAGACATTCGTCTGCCTCTGAAGTGGCTACTTCCTTTCTTTTTGGTACTAAAATGTTATTACTAGAGTTCTTTTCCTTATTTGATCAAAACAAACTCATTTTACTGTTAATGTTTCCAAACTTAAGTTAGTTGCTTTTGAAAGAAGTCAGTTTTCTAAAGAAATTGGAAACTAGATAAAGAAAACATACCTTTGGTTCTAAAAAGCACCCTTTGAAGTAGCGATACTGAACTGATACTCCTCTACTGAGTACAATGGTTGCTTTCCATAACATGCTATGAGGGGAAAAAAGGCAGCAAAATTAGCATCAAACTAAAATACATAAAGACTTCATAATTCATAAACCCCCTTAAAGGTAAGATCTGTGACCAGTATCATTTATTTATTCCTAGACAAAATGCTACTCCAGGTCTAATCTGAACCAGGGACTAGGAACACAGCGATAATTAAGGTAGAAAGAGCCCCATCCTCAACGAGATTGCTTGCTTGTTGTGAGTAGACAAACAAAATAACCAAATAACATATACAGGAAGGGCCAGCTGGCCTTCCCGAGGTGACAAGAGGTTTTGGAGGGAGAGATCTCAACAAGGAAGAGCTGTCTGAGCTGAGACTTAAGTGATGAGCTGTCCTAAGAGCCAGGAGAAGTATTTCAATCAGAAAACGCAAGCAGTGCAGATCTCCGGATCTCCTCTGACACCCCACTTACCTAGGGGTGTTACACAGCTGCTAGGAGGTTCTGAGCTCATGCTCCCAGCTGTTCCTTGCTCTGTCCTGCCCGGCCTCTGGCTATTCCCTTAGCCAAGCAATCAGTGTCTGTATCTTACTTGTTTCAACGCAGTGTCTTCCTCTGAATTATGCTATGCTGACATATTCTAAGGCTAGTTCTAAAGCTTGGATTCAGTGAAAGAATTCACTACAATTCATGACTATAACTGATTTTTAGCTTCAGACCAATGGTATCCAAAGCATGGTCCCAGGACCAATGGTATCACCTGGAAGCCTGTTAGAAATGCAGATTCTTGGGCCACATCTAGATCTACTGAATTAGAAACTCTGGGGGAGGGACCAAGCAATTTGTAACAAGCCTCCAGGTGACTCTGATGACGAACACTTAAGGTTGAGAGCCTGAGTCACAGATCATTACCCAAACATTAATTCAGCATGAACAGCTCAGTGACTATAAACGGCAGCTCCAAATGTTCTCCCATGATACCAGATGGCTAGCACTGCTCCCCACCTGGCTCTGCCAAGGCAGGTTTTAGGGCATTATCCTCACTCTGACTCAGCCCTGGTTCCTAACAAGATATCCACAATCAGCTGTCACCCATGGTCCCAGCTTCAACAATCAGGTTAACCTGGTGTAATAAAACACACATGCCCTGGCTGCACCATGGGAGACTCTGGTTCCATCGGGCTGGGGTGGAGCCTGGTCATGGGGAGTTTGATAGACTCTGGGTGGTTGGTCGAGAAATGCTGCTGTGAGGCAAGGGCAGCCTAATGTTTGGCACACCTGCCGCTACTACTTTTCTCTGATAAGCCTCAGGATCCTTTTCAACACAGGGCTCCAGGCAGATTCCACGAACGCTGAGGTGAAACTAACTTCCCATCTCCGCTACAAAAAAACTGCATGCTTCCAGTATTATCTCATCCATAAAACAGTCAGCCTACGTATGTGAAACCAGCCCCAGGTGTGCACAGAATTAGTGGGAAGCTTTGAAAAAATATGCTGGGGACCCCCTCATGCACTTATTAACAATCTTCCAGGAGTAGGGTCTAAGCATGTGTATTTTTTTAAAGGGCTTTAGATTCTTTAAGGTTTTTTTTTTTAAGTGATTCCAACGTGCTCCCCTGGTTAAGAAGCACTAAATGAAAAGATGAGATGGAGAGAGCAAACCAATGAGTCTTCTTACTTCACTGCTCTAAGCAAATATAGGAAAGTTAAAATGAACCAGAACTGTTCACTGACATCAAGAATGAACACAATCAGATGAAACTCAAGAAAAACCAGCAACGAGGGGCAGTGAGAAGGTTTACTGCCCCTGCCTGATTCTGAATCATCCTCATATCCTCTCTCCAAAATACCATAAAATCTATGAGGGCAAATAAAATCACAAATAATCCACATTTTCTTCATTATTAGGAAACAATACCACAACCTTCAAATTGTTTCCAAGCAGAAAAAAGAACTCCCAACAGAACTCGGCACCACAAGTTTGTAGGTACAGAGGCTTAAGAGACTGAGAAAAAGAGAACAGAGGACTTAGATGCAGAGCACACTGATATCCCAAAGAAACAATTCTGAAACACATGAATGTTGTCTAAATGCAAAGATTTGTTTACCTTTTGTATCATCTACATATATCACCTTGTGTCATCAACTTGCTCTCTCTTTGTGAAGCATTCTTTATCTGCCATGTATGAATCAGTTAATTTCAGTGTACAACCATGTCAAAACGGCTGGTTCCTTAAAGTTAAGAAGTTAACTGTTCTCCTTCTGTTCACATCACATTCCAAGTCTGGAATAAACAGGTGACAGAGCAGCTCAAGAGTTCAGAGCAGAGGTAAACGACTTCAGAAAGACAGGTTTCACTTCAGACAGGAGTGACTGATCCAAAAATCAGGGAAAAATAACCCCTTGAAGAAAATAAACATCTCGTTTGTCTCTGGCTCCAATATCATTTATCAATGGAACTCAACGTATAAAAACAACAGAACTGGCTGAGAAAATGTGTCACACTAATGACAACAGGGAAAAGGGTGCTCTGTGTACATGTTTTGTTTTCTCTTCCTTAGCTTACATTATGGTCTTGTTTTATCTTCCTTGTTATTTTCCTTTGTTTTGCCATCAGTGTGAACGATCAGCTTCTGTTTGCTTGCTTTACTCTACCTGTCCCATGACCAAGGCTTCTGGTCTACACACTCAGTTCAATGAGATGAGCCCACGATGACATGGATGGATGCTCAGCGATGTCAAATTGCCATAAACATTCCTAAATGCTTGCTCTCAAGTTTCGTATTTCTCACATCACGCACTGACAAAGTCTTTTGTCTACAACTGGTCCACAGGCTACATTTTTAGTAGCACTGCACTGCTCTCTGGGGGCACTGCATGTATTTGTATACTATTTAGAATCCCCTCATCGCTCCTTCTTTACCCCCACACGTACATCTTGACAACCCGTGACAACCTGTAACACTTCAAAATATCCTCAGGTGGAGTACAACCATTGTTGACATCACTGATTCTACCCTAACCCTGCTACCATGCAGGTGAGGTAACGAGGACCAGAGCTATTAGATCTGCCCAAGATCACAGATACCTGCAGAATTGAAACCGGCCCCCAGATCCTCCTTTCCCTGCTCCAGGGCATCAGTACACCCACGCTAAGTTGAGTGCTGTGCTTAATGTCAGCAGCGAACTCATTTCATCACGTTAGCTAGGACATCTACATGAATGTTCCACTCCCTCCTATTTTTAATGCTATAAACATCTCAAGAAAATTATTTCATAGGCTAAAGCAAAAGTTAGATCTTTTATCAAGAATATGTACTAAGAAGTCAAAAGATAATGCCTTAAAGTATTTTTAAATTAAGAAATAGCAATATACGCTAGTTATTTAGAAATGTGGTAGTAAAAGAACCAGCCAAGAGCTGCAAACATCTGAGAGGTGGAAATTGAGAAAGAGAGGAACTTGTTTTTTTCACAGCAAACTTTGTAAAACAATTTCACTCTTTATGCATATATGATAACTGATAAAAATTAAAACTAAAAGAAAAACATACACCAAGGTGTCTTAGAAACCCCCAAGTTTATAACCTGAATGTCACGACTATTCTGTAACCTGACACATTCATGCTTACCTTTCACCTGTCTCATTCTCTGGAAGAAGAGCCACCGCATTTTGAGGATTCCAGTTTCCCAAAGCCTCACAGCTTCCACATATTGCAAAAACTTCTCCTAAAAAAATGCACAACCAGTTACAGCGGAATAAATAGGAAAGTCTCAAATTCTAGTTTTAGGAAGAAAAGAGCAGTCAGTTGCACTAGTTTACCTGGATGCAGAGTCCGCGTTAGCAGAGATGGAAGAGCCTCACTGGAGACGTGGTGTAGACCCAGGTACCACAAAGCACCTGCCTTATTAACTTGACCCCCCTCTACAGAACCAAGGCCAGAGGAAAGGAAGATGTACAGGACAGACTTTTCTTCATTGTTCAACTACTTACTGAGCCAGTAACAAGCACCAAGAAGACAAAGTGATCAAACCACAGTCCTTGTCTTCAAGACAGCTTCCGATTTAAAGGTGCAAACACTAAATGCATATAAGTATTCTAGAGAAATAGCAGTTTTTTTCAGGAATTCTAAAAATAGCTACTAACAAGTTAAAGATCAAGAAAACTATCAAAGGGACAAAAGCAATGTAACAACAAAAAATCCTCACAACAAAGACTTATATAGTGAAAATCTAGTATTCCTTAATAAAATACTCACTTCATCTGAACATTTCTCAATAGATAAACCAAACATAGAGCTCTACCTACATTTGCTAAATTTCCTATATTTAGCAAAACTCTACAACTCCTTGGATAAAAGTATGCAGAAGTCTTTGATTTATACATCAACACATTCTGAACTACTATTATTAACATTCATTAAAAAAAATGAACTGACTACAATTAACTGAGCCCAAAAGAACAAAGGTCAAGACAAACGCCTCCACATTCTGAGGGGAACCTGGCTTCCAAGCTAAGGCACTACTCTAGGAAGACCAGGATTACAGTGGGCCTTAGCCACACGCGTAACTGCCTAAAACTAAAATTCCAGGTGTGGTAGTCCTTCAGGAGCTTTCAGCGTTCTTAATACATATGGGTAAAAGCATAGGGCAGCTATGTATAAAGATTTCATGTTATTTTTTCATCAGTCCTGCAACCAGATTTTTTTCACAATTAACTTAGGTTATACTGACCTTTTCTCTTTTTTTTTTTAAAGGATAAACACTGTTGCTAAATACAAGGCACAAATATTCATTCCCAAGACCATTCTTGCTGCTCTGCACGGGTACAGCATACACTACAGTGGCTCCTAGCTCGAAGTACAGGTTATCATAAAATCACTGACGGGGCCCTCTTCTACTTCCTTTATAAAGGAGAGTCTCATTAAAACTTTTTCATGCAGTCAGTTATTTCTTATCCCCACACAAAACAGCAGCTGTTCTTTGCTCTGGAAAGAACGTGTATTCTACGTGGAGAAAGTAAAACTTGGACAATTGGTGCCACTTTCCCCCCACAAGGGCGCCTTCATCTCACCAGTTCCCTCCTGCAGTGCTGCTCTGTCTCTTTGCTGACTGCCTCTGAATATGGCTTCTATGAAGAAAACGTTTACTAGAACACTTTTTTTAATTGGCTTTCATTTATAAAAGATTACAAAGACTTGAATGCTAATGAAAGGAATTTCAAACAGCACTCCCATATATTCTTTTTACTTGTTCCCTCTAACTTCACCTCTCTCTGCCCTCTCTCCACATTCAGCAGAGAGCACCAAGGTGGTATGAGGTTTGGGGGGAGAGGAGAGTCTACCCCAACACCGCCCTCTCACCATCCCTCTATCTTTCCTTCCCACCTACAGATTCATCTGCGTTCACATCCACCATTCTCTTTCCTCTAGTCCTTGAGAACAAGAGTTCCACCTTGTCAAGAAGACCATTCTGAGGCTAATTCTGTGGTCAGTCCATCTGCCTGACACGGCCAGCTCCTTCTAGCTTTAACTGCCTATGTATGAAAGTATGATAGATTTCTGAGGTCTTCTCTCCACAGAGGAGGCCACACACTGTACAAGAGGCGAGCACTTGACCCCAGGGAGCCAACTCCATCAACTAACTATCCATCTTTGATCTGCAGAATCTTGCCCAGAGGGAAGCTGTACCAGATTACCTTGGCTAAGAATCTGAACTTGGACAAACACACACTGTCAACTGCTGTGATGGCTGCTAGAACAAAGATGCTGGATATACAGAATGAATCATTCATTCATTCCTTGAAAATATATTTACCTCTGCTCTGAGCCAGACACTATGCTTGGTACAGGAATTCAGCACGAATCAAAGTCCAGAAACCAGAAAAAATGTTTTTCATAGAGCTAATTACCATCTATCCACAAGCAAAATTACTCAAATAATTCCATAAAATCAGTAAGAAATACTACAAAAAGTCCTGGAACCTTGAATTTCACAGAGACCTTAACCTAGTTGAATATGGGAGGTTGGGGTAAGGAGAGTCAGGAAGGCAGGGGAAGGGAACAGATCTAGGCAAAGGAAATAATTTAAGAATGCCCCAAAGAAGGGAAGGAATACAACAGATTTGAGGAAATGGCCAGTATCGCCAGAGTATACTAAACAAGGAAGTATCAAACCCAGGTGTGACACTGCTTCGCCATGCTGTCTGACACTCACATCATTTCACACTGCTTTAACAGCAAGAAATGCAATGAAGCTTAACAAATACAATAAATACAATGAAGCTTAGCCAAGGTAATCTGGTACAGCTTTACAAGTAGGGAAGAAACTTAGCTAAATATTTCACCAACTTCTCACACTAGAAATATTTCCCTCATTTTCCTACTACTTAAAAATCATAGCTCAACCATCCCTGTCCTGTGCAAAATTAAATTCATGCTTTCTTGAAAAACATGAGAATAAGATACATTATTTGGGAAGGTATTTTTTTTTCCTTGAGTTTACTATGTTCCGAGCACATTTCTGATATCAGGCATGCCCTAAAAATATTTGCATCTAAAAATTAGGCCCACTCTAGTAACAACTCCGTATTTAAGATAATCTAGATAAGAAAAATGCTCATTTAATTAAAAAATGTTTTAAAGTAAAGTTTTACAATACCTGGTAAAAGAGTTCCTCTTATTTCAAAGGTAACCTGAGAAGGTGTCATTCTGATGGATTTACTTCAGGATGTCGTGCTAGGGAAAAAAAGAAGACATCATTGTTAGTATATGAAAACATCAGCTCTAGATAGCTGCCACCAAGAAACAAGTTAAAAAGCACAGAAACAAAAATGAATCTCAACTCTGATCAAAGGATTTCAGAGACCTTATATAGAGAGCCTGAATGATGTAGGAAGTACCTAGCAAGTTTTAGGGCCTAGTGTTACAAACCGATTCTTTAAGAATGTATGGACCAGAAAAACTGCAAATCAACTGTCTCCAAACTTATTTTTTTCAAGAATACAAGACTACCTTGTCACATACTTTCTCTTTTGATAAGCAGCTGTTCTGAACTCAACCTATCTTTCCTGACCAGGCTCAAGTTTATAGTGGAGGAAAACAAACAAAACCCAACTAGCGATGGATAAAAGCTTGGCTCCAGGGGATTTCTACTTTAAGAAGGTTCCAATCTTAATAACAAGGAAACAACCAAAGAACTTAAGTACCACCTACTGAAACAAACTAGCTATGTTCTGCAACATTGAGAATCTGCTTCTAAAGCGTACATGAGCTTTTTTTAAAAAAGGAGGGGGGGGGTATGGCTCAGTGGTAGAGTGCATGCTTACTGTTAGTTCTGAGGTCCTAGGTTCAATCCCCAGTACCCCATTAAAAAAAAAGTCTAATCACCCCCCATCAAAAAAAAAACAAAAAAATTTAAAAAGAGACAACTCTCCCCACGCAAATCACTCCTCAGGTTTTCTCTGTCAACCACAGGACCATCATTATGCTAGTTCTGTAGACTTGAATTTAGAGTCTCAACTCTGCAAACTATTATCAAATCCAGTAGATTCTAATTGATCTTACATACATGCCTTGTTTTCCCCTAAAGTTTAAACGTCATTCAAAACTCTAATCTACTTTACATTCTGGCTTCCCAATCGCTTTCCTACAATACATTTTTTGTCAATTAGAATACTCTTCCTCAAGTCCCTGGCTTGGAATCACTTCCATTACTTACACAGTAACCCCTAAACCTGTGATGTCCTCTACCGCTTATCCACATTTTCTCTCTAGCTTATTTTTCCTTTCTTCACTATGTTTCCCAGCCTAACCATTCTGTTTAGTATCCCTTAATTTAAGTACCTGAGAGAAGATAGGAAATTTAAAAAAATTTTTTTAATGTATGTCAATTCTCATGTAATTTATAGACTTTAAATATAAAAAAGATATACTTCACACAAGGTCACATCATATTGTATGTAACTTCTCCAATTCCCCCCCAAACTTCTGCACCCTAATCCACCAACGTTCCTAAAAGAATTCCAATCATGTCCTTAATGTCATTTCCATTAATTCATCAACTTAAATTTTGTTTATTTGTATTTACACATTACTTTATTAAAAAAAAATCCTGAATTACTTTTCCGAGCTATTTAGCTCTCATTTCCCTATGCTCCCTTCCCCTCCCTGTGACCCACACACACAACTCTGCAATGGGCACTTAATGTTCACTGGCATCCACGGTTAACCACACTTCTGAGTCAAGGTAGATAGAGCTATAGCAGCAGTTGTCACTGGAGGGAATTTTGCCCTCCAAGGGATATTTGACAAGGTCAGGAGACATTTCTGGTTGCCACCTAGTGGGCAGAGGCAAGGAGTGCTGCTCAGCACCATGCAATGCACAGAACAGGTCTCCACAAGTAATTGTCCAGCTCCAAATACCGATATAGCTAAGAATGAGAAATCTCACCTCTAATATCTAATATCACAGGGAGCTGCGGTGAGAATCAAGAGTCCAGGCTCAACGTTAGCTCTAAACCATGTATCATTCCACTTACACCAATTATAAAATGTAAGTACTGAATGCCTATACTCAGCAAGACCACCAGTCAATATGGCTTCATGTCACTTGGATAAATAAGTCCCTATTTGGCAACTCTACCATTTCAGTTAGAAAACCCAAGACTACACACTGGAGAAAAACCTGTCCTTGATCAAATTAGGTACCTTAATCTACTTTCTGTGTCTAAGAGTAAACACGATCTATTTGAAGCATATACATCCAGTTCTAGCATTGCCAAAGCATGTTCCTAAATCTAAAAATAGCTCTAGATTGTTACCCTCTCATTAACCTATCATTACCCAAATACCTTAATAGTTGTCTTTTAACATGACACGTGATATGAATCTGAGTATAACCCTAAGAGTACAAATATATCTTTCTAAGTAAAGTAAATAAAATGATTCATTGAAGCAGTGTAATCATTTAATTAACTTATAACATACCAAGAAACCTTAAGGTTAGCAAAAAAACAAAAAAAAGCTTGGCTTTTAAATTACTGAATTTCAAGACAGCAAAAAGCCCCATCATCCAGCAAACGGCTGAATAATCCACCTCAAAGTGTAACTTGTACTTTCACCCAGTGTTTACTGCCACAGTTAACTAAGGACAATCCCATCTACATAGTTACAAAGTTGGTACTCAGTTTTTGATCAATTGTAAGTAACTATTTTAACCAACTTTAGGGAAGTCATATGTAATTATTCCTATGTATCAAAACCAACAACTGGTATAAAATTATCTCTAAATATCTACTGCATTAAATGGGAAACATGTAAATTTAATTTAATGAAAAGGAAATCAATGGATGATTAAAACTGAGCCTCTCATTCTTAAGGTTGCTAGTATGAGTGGCTACAGTAACTTGGCTGGAAATAGCTGCAGTATATACACTATACAAAGCTACATACTCAAGCAGGAAAATATCCCCCCAAAAACTTCCCCAGATGTCAACAAAGCATCATCTTCCACCATTGCTGAAAGTCATATAATCTGTTCATTTCCATTTGCCCCATCCCCTAAACTTAATACCACACCAAATAAGACTCGTTGGAGCTGCAGCAGTTTACTTGATCATGGACAGAGGCCAAAATTCTGGTGCAGGACTGAAGCAAACAATTTTGGCATCCTGCTACCGCTAAAGTAAAACAGTGCTGTGGAACGAAAAATTTACACAACCACCACCACTTCCTCTCCTTCCGAATAAGCCAAAAAAAAACCCCCAAAACAACAAAAAAACTCAACTTAGGTGGGGGAGTCTTCTAGATATACATAAAACAAGAGTGATGAAAAATGCTAGTCATTTTTACAAACATGAACTGACTGCAAGTAATTTAACCAATTTACCTATAGCCTCACGTAGACACTAAGCTTCCTGAGACAGGTTTTTGGTTTTGTTTTTAAACATCATATCCATTTTATGCTTTTTTGCAGATAAGTATTAAGCAGCATTGAGACTTTGAGTAGTACTTAACACTACGTTAATGCTTTTTTAAAGACTCCAGTGATTAGCAAGATGACATTGTAATTTACATTTTAAAAGTATCAGAGTTTTTATTACCTGGCAAAATAAATTTTACTTTATTCTTTTTTTGTCAAATAAACTACCCCAACACATTCCTTTACTGGTTTGCCAGCTTGGGGAACAAAAAGGAGATTTAAGCAAAGGTACAGAAACATTTAGTTTAGAGCTAAACTGAAGTCATTTTTAGCTAAAATGTGTTTTTCTGGCCACAAAGAACATATTTCACTGTTTTCCTTCAAAGTTTTTTCAGAGAAAATGCTGTTTCCAATTCTCTGCTCTTTCCGAGGCTCCAGCAGCTTTGATCCACACAACTGGCTTTAAGAAAGGAGTATACAAAATACCTAGATTTTTCTGGGTTAATTGCTGTTCATCTGGGTAAGAGGATCATCATGCCCCTGCTACTTTGATCCCAGTATACTTTGAGCCAATATTTTAATCAAATCTATGAAGACATGAATGGATTTTTATTGAGAAAGCACTTCTGGAGATTTCATTAAGTCTTTGATCATCTTTCTAAACAATGCCGTAAAATTTTTCCAAAATCTTTTCATTTCATTTTACTTTATTATTTTCATACATATTTCATATTTTTTCCTGATTCAGTTATACACAAAGATTGGATTCGTCTACTTACTTTTTGTACATATCAAATTTTACTCACCCTGCCACTGGGATTTCTTTTGTGGTCATTATTTCTGAGTCCAACTTTTCTGTCTTATTTTGTCTAGGACGAATATTGGTTCTTCCTAGTTGAGAACTGACTGAGCCACATCCAGTTTTACCTGTTTTGTTTTATTTATCTTGTGTTATTCGTATCCAGAATGTTAGGAGTTGCAAAAAGGAGTGATAGCTTGCGTTTACTACTTAGCTAAGTCACAACTGTCAGAAATGTAGCAAGACGGAGAAACAAGAAGGGGTAACGTAGTGGGTAAGAATTGGGCAGAAATAGGAAGGGCAACAGTATGAGTATGAGTATGAGTATGAAGAGACATCAAGTCCGAACATCCTGCTTGGTTCTATCAGTTCTTCTCTGTGTTACATCAGTCTGGACAGCTGCCTCAAGGAGAAAGATTTCTCTACAATTCATGACTGAATTTATGTCCGATTTTCTTTATAACGGAGCAGTGGGGTGAGGGGGGGCTGATGAAGCACCTAACTGATGGACGCTTTCTCCCAGAAATCATCAAAGCAATTTGAAGAGCCCTGGAAAAAGTACAGCTTTTAAGAGAAGGGGCAGCTGTCTTAAAATTGTATCAAGGACACTGATGTCTCTTCCTGGAACCTTTTCCTAAAGGAGTAAGGCACCTTGGTTTCTTGCAATAACTCAATTATACTAGCATGTCCTAAACTACCTAGTTAAGCAATTTCAGAAAATAAGCAGTTGTCATAACACTATTAATCACTTAAGGATAAAGCCGCAGAGCGGTGGTCGGCGAGGGGCACGCTGTGAGTTAAGGGGCACACAGACGACTCCAGCTGCATCTGTTTCTCCGTTCCTTAACTCGGTTCTCTGAACACTCGTGGCGGTGCTATGCCCTCTGCATTATGGTATATCGACAACACTTCACAAAATTTCCGGAGGGGAACTGAGCACCAGGCAGCCAGCCCAGCGGAATCGTGGCAGCGAACAATAAACAGGATAAATAGGTGCTACCCATCGGCTTACCGGAGCAGAAGTCCAGGCCGCGGTTTCCCCGTC